GTAAAAGCATTGTTGAGTTATAACTTTACAACGAAAAGTGGCATTGATTTTTATATACAACTAGCAGACCGCCCCTGCTTCGCACGGGTACCCGACTACCCTGGTGTCAGTCATATGTTTTGCAAGTGAACTGCCACGGCGTTAAAAGGGTTGTTAATTAAAGCTTACTTTTCTAATATTTTCTTTGATAAGAACCTTCTCCTGACAATAACAAAAACAACAAAAAAAGAATTAACAAAATTGGTCCAGGCGTTATTGAGTTATGCGCTTACCAACACATTTTGCGATCCATTTTTATATATAAGAAGATAGATAAGTAGATGAAGCTGTTGAAATACTGATATCTGTGATATCCCTTTGTAAGTACGATTTTGTTAAAGATTTCGTACGATATACATATCTACATAGAAACTACAGCAAAGTTGGTTCTTACTTTATTTTTTGGCACATGTATCCGTTCAACTCATCGTGCATTCAACAGTTAGGTTACGGCACAAATTGTACCGAGTTTTATATGCATTGTTAACGGTAACGCAAGCGTTTAAGTATCTAGTTGACATTTTGAATATGGACTCTGGAGTTTGGTTTTTGGGTCACCAAGTTACGCATTACTGAGCATTTGGATTAAGCTCAGAATACAGAACAAACCAGAAGGCGTCATCGCGCTTCAAACTAAAACAACTAAAACCATTCTTAACTTGAATAGTATGAAATTTCTACGATTAGTCAATTTTGGCACGTGGCATGTCGTGACGTATTTACGAGTATCAGCCGTCTGGTGTTATTCTACGAGTAAAAATGCGACTGGAATTACGAAAAAAGTGGATAAGATTACATTTCATCTGCAAGCATCGACTGCAATAGTATATTTAATTAATTATTGAATTTTTTTATCGATTTATTTTTCTATGAAAATGATGCGGCCATTTTGTGAGTGTTGTCATTCTTGGTGAAAATTTTACCCACTTATTTATTTGTTGTGGGTTATATTTTTGTCCATTATGGAGCCTATGTCATATTAGTTTCCCTGACAAAAAAAGAAATACAAATCATACAAAGGGCACGGTTAGATTAATTTTGGAAACCATCTAGCCAGAGCATAGTTTGCTCAATTCACTTTGAAGAGGTATATTTATGACAAAGGTGGTTTGAAAACAGCATATCCTACTAAGATATACTAATTATATCTATACTAATTATAATGCTGAAGAGTTTGTTTGTTTGTTTGCTAGAATGCGCTAATCTCAGGAACTAAGTAAAGTAAGTAGACTTCTAATTCTAATCTTTAGTTCGAGTCTAAAGACATATTAAAAAAACTAAACCAGGAAAAGAATGAAACCTTTGTACTTATTGAAGCTTTATTTGTTGTGTATAGTAGATGTAACTAAAATTAACACAGCCAGAAATTGTCAACTTTTATGATACCTCTATGAAATGTGTGAACAACTAGTTACTGTTGAATTTATCGTAAGTTTACCTATTTTGTTGGGTTTACTCCTCATCTTACCCTCCTGTTGTAAAATTACCCCAAACCAAGGGAATTGTTCCACTGTCGGCAACACTACGCGGGTGGGAAGTGCGGCTGGCGGGTGGGAAGTGCGGCTGGCGGGGGGATTGACGTATTGTTTTTGGACACATTTGACGACATGTAATAATGAGTGAACGCGGATTCTGGTTTGTTCTGTAATCTGAGGGATTAAGTAAATAAATATATATCATTAGGTAACATACACAGGTCTAGTACCTATTTTTCTTGTGCAATGTGCATTAATATGAGCCCCCGGTTTGATATGAAACTAGTCGTTATACAGAAACATGGCAAATATAAGTAAAGAGCAAAGACAATAAGGACAGATTATGCGATAATTTGAGGATTATATTTGTAAATAGTAACCTGCGCATCAGTAGCTACAATAAATATCGTGTGTCGAGCAAAGCTGTTCATGATCACAGCCCCCAGCATGGCTTGAAACTAGACGAGTTACCCCGTCATAATAAAAATGAGAGCAAAATTTATAATATTAATTATCTATTTTACAATTTAAGAATAAGGCATAAAAATTAAATTGAAGAAAGAATAAACAAGACTGAAAACCTTAGAAGAAAACAATCTATTTCTTTAGTCTAGGTTTAAACCACTGAGTCAGTTATAGTATTTCAAATTGAAGGTAGATGAGAATAAGATTCAAATTAAAAAAACCTAACTCAATGGTTTAAAACTAGACTGAAGATAAATCTTGTTTTGTAATAAGCGGAGAATAAATGTCTTATGATAATAAAATGCACTCAAGTCATGTGAGTGCATTATGATATGAATAGGTATTATGCAGATTATGCTAGCCTTACATTATTTATGCTGGCTAAGTACAATTAATTTATTTGTACTTTGAATTAATTACCATTATGATTTAATTACATATTGGGTTTAATGAACTGCTAGTCTAGTGTACACTCTTTATTATGTATATCCAGACTTAATGTAAGTATGTTAACATAAATAATATAAATTACACTTATATCGTGTGGGAATTCGAGACACAATAGAAGAATAATAGGTGCGCGAACGCCGGCGTTCGCTAGGGTTTTATGAATTAAACAGAATATTTTTTTTACTTCTATAGCGAGCCAACTTAGCTGCGATGACGCGACCTATGGAACATGCCTACCCATAAGCGGCCTAATCACTCGGGCCTTCGAAGACAACTTCGAGGAACACAGACTGTCAAAAGTCTAAAAGTAAAAAAAAACAAAATCTGATTATAAAACTGGAGGCGAAACGCTTCGTGGGTGTTATTATTCATTATTTAATAAGTTACAAGCCCACAAAATTAAAATGGGACTGGGCCGGACACGTTAGCTGAATGCATCCGGAGAGATGGGCCACTATTGTCACTCAGTGGACACCTCAGGATGGACGCCGCAGGCGGGGTAGGCCCCGGAAAAGATGGCGTGACAACCTAGACGCCTTTTCGATCTAAACGATCGAGACACCGTACACGAACAATGGGTGCGCGAACGTCGGCGTTCGCTTGGGGTTTGGTGAATTAATATTTAAATAAACCTAAATTATAAATGAAAGTTTGAATAAATTAATTTTATTTTAACTTAAATGTAGAGTGGACATTCCAACACACGTGCGCGCGTGACTGCCAAATAAGGGAATCTGATTCGAAAAGGCGTAACGCACTATTTTTTTACGAATGGAAATCCAGTAGTAGAAAGTATGCTTTTAATTCAGGCAAAAAGCTATATACTCTTACTGACTCACACCACTAAAAGTCCTGAAACAATTGTGAGGATCACTGTGTACTCGGATGAATGAAATAATTCTACTAATATTATAAATGAGGGATTGGAACAGTTTGCCGGCTGCAGTCTTTCCGTCCGAATATAATTTAGGTGTCTTCAAGGCTAGAGTGAATAGGCTCTAAATAAACTAGTGCGCCTAACCATCAACGATTGCATCACTGCTTACCATCAGGTGGGATCGCAGTCAAGCAATAGTTTATTGCAAGTAAAAAAAAAAATTATAAGCAATCATTACCCTCTCCCAATCTTTATAAGCAATCATTACCCTCTCCCAATCTCAAAATGTCCAAATCTCGAAATCTCCAAATACTTAATCCCCAAAATGTCGGCAAAACTCGTAAGTCGTAACGTAGCTGATAGCTTACCACTAGGAAATACGAAGGCTCGTTTGACATCTTATCACATAAAAAAAATAGACTGAAATCTTGAAAAATTGATAGCCATCCCATTTTTGCATTTCATATTGACAACCCTATCTCTTCTGTTACTTAGCTACGATAACATAGTGACGTAACTACTCTTTGTGCCATTTAGATAATAATGGAATATTCCTATCTATGTATCTGTCTGTCTGTATGTTTGTTTAAACACCAAGAGTCCAAACATTAATTTGGTGAGTCAGTCATTCATATTCAGATGACAATGGCTTTCTTTGAATTTATATCAGTAAATAGAATTAGTCATATCAATTAAATATCAATTTAGACTTTCTTAGCTTTCAAAACATAAAAGTTAATCTGTATGAAACAACTCCTACTTATGTTTCGTTTTTTCCAATGCTCATTAGTACAGAAAGACAGACATTGCAACAATAAGAGTACTGAATCTGTTATATTACATAAAAATTATGTAAAAATTTAATTACACTAAATTTATTTAAAAAAAAATTAAGTTTTAATCAAAAACTTTGACCATTAACTAAATACTTAAGCTATTGTTTTTTTTTATGTTTAATTTGTCTGTAGGTCCAATTTAAACTAAAATAGACCAACCAAAATTCAATTTCAAGCAGCACAATAATTATAGAAATTCAAAAACAATCTCTTTTATTACTTAAGTGATTAACAGTAATATACAGTTATATTGCATTTATTTTATATAAATTTTAAATACGAATTTTTAAAAGATCAACAATTTCTAGTACACAATTTATAGTTAAAATACCTAGTACTTATCTGATTAATTTATTTAGTTATTTAATTCAGCAAACCCCAAGCAAAACCCGGCTTTCATGCCCCTCCTATTGAGTCTTAGATTACCATGATTGAAATGTTAAAAAGAATATGTTATACTTTTAGTGACTTTCTATTGTTTAACTTAGAAAAATAAAATTACAATTTTAGTATAAAATTACAGTTTTTGAGATTATTAGCTGTAATTTTTAATGTCATAGTCAGTTGATACAGACAAGGTCATGAATAAAAACTACATACTCATTAAATTTCTCAAACTAAATGTAACAAAAATTTGAAATAAATTATTAAAAATTTAATGGAACCTACCATTGACTAATTTATTTCCATTGTTTTTTTTTATTTCATAAGATTGAATGAATTGCATAATGTTAAACTTTGTGATACTTTATGTTATTGAGGCTACATAGTCAAAATAATGAATAAAAAGCAATAGATTCATTTAGAATGAATGCCTTTGTGACCTTTGTACGCGGAATAGTAAATGCTAGTACTCACTTTCATCTTCCGTGGTATGTGCGCCTTTCTTGATATAAATATCCAATTTCACAGGATGGTGTATCGAGCGCTGAATCTTTATCCGAATGCACAGTCCTATTAGCGTCGCCAGCGAACAATGAGGCACTGTAGGATTGTATTCCACTCGCAACACAGGAACTTTATCGGCAGTAGGCTCCTTCACGAAAATCCCCTCTTCATAAACCACCTTCAAATCTTCGAGCGTACTCGGCTTTTCAGGGTCCCGTATCGTCCGCAAAAAGTCTAAAACACCACAACACACGTTAAAGCCACAAATAACCAACCCAATTAGTCCAAAACAACACGAAAACTGATCAAAACAAACCGTATATTGTCTCTTTCAAGTCGTTCTCATCTCTATACCCTAACTCCTGTAGTGTCGCACTTTTGTCCATATACGCTGGCTTCGCAAGCTCCAATGGCGGCTTTTGTGAGTTATTTAGAGAGAGTTTTGAGAAGAACGATATCATATCGTTAGATAGAAATGAATTGTGTTCCGCTAGGTCACAGTCACAAGTCGGACATGTTTGTTTTGTTGGAGCTTCATATTTTCCCGTATTTTGTCTATGGACTTATGGATGCGTTCGAAAATTATAATACCATAATCTGACAGTGACAGACCGCTACGGCAAATTGGACTTTCCGCCATTTTATGTTGGATGAGAGCGAACAAGCGAACGGCTACAACTATCTGTTGTCTGTTGTCTCACTCACTACCTGAGTTGAAATTCGGAACACAACAGTTGTATTTAGATATCTTTGATGTTGCAGAAAAAATATGGTCACCGGACTAGCGGACACAAAAAAAGCAATTGTAAACCAATCATTAGGGTTTCATTTGTTAAAATTGCTTTGTACATGAATATTCAAATACTAAACTTAGGTAAACAGTAAGACCGAATTGAACTAGAAATTAAGAAACAACCACTGCCATACAATACATTATGTACATATTGCAAGAAACGCTAAGCCAAGTACCTAATGATTTATTGTGCCTTTTGCAATGTACCTACATTATTTAGGTTTTTAATACTTTAATATTACACAATTTATGAATCAAAGATACTTCTTACGCATCTTAATTTAAAATTTTGATTTAGTAAGTTGGAACACATAGTACACCCACCTAAAGAATAAAAGAAATCACGCACAGGATGTACTCACAAAAAATATAACAATGAATTTTTGACAAAGGGTTTGTATAGGTAAAGATTTTTTATGTTAAGTTCAAGTGCGTTTGGACCCTGACAGGACTTATTTGATTTTGTTTCTTTAAAATAACTTATGGAATTAGAATTTCTTAAAACCTTTAGTTACATCGTTAATTAGTCTATGAGATGTATTATTTAAATGTCGAAACAAAAAGGGTTTCTCATTTCTTCAAGATACTAATTAATGGTATCAAAATAAATATGAAACTACAAACGTGTTAGGTACGTGAAATTTAGCTTATAATGTTTTCAAACGGCACGTTGCAATTGAATTTTCATTATTCTCAATAAGAATACTCAAGTGTAAAAATAATTAAACAATCTTGTTGTGCAGTAGTTATGTGGATACCACAATCATATATAGAGAAATTAATAAAACGTGATAGAATTAAACTTACCTATATCTTTAAGAGAGACTACAACTTAGGAAAACACTGCTTTTAATAAGTTTAATAAAAAGCTTATCACTCTGGCATAAATTATGTCACTTTAGTATTAGATCACATGCATGTGTGTGGTGCTTATGCAACTCTGAGTACAAATTAACAAACATTTTTTTTTGCAATATTTTTAAATAAATACTCCTTGATAATTTAGTAATTGTGAACGCAACTCATAGACAAATCTGTCAAATGGCTTGTCACGGGAAAATAAAATCAAAACTAGGACCACGACCTTAAACTAGATGTCGCTTTTACATACTTTTGTTTCATTCATGATGTTCGTCACGTAACACTTGTTTTGGGAAGCGAATTATGGTAATTTCAATGTTAAGGAAATTCTAAAGAAAAGCATTGAGTTTGTTTACCCAATATTTATCCTTGGTCGCGTAGCTTTTCACCTGATCGCAAAGGGTTATTTATTATTTACGTTTCAGTTTTAATTTAATAAGCAATAGCCCTTATGTAATGTCCATTAAATTATTTAACAAATTACCAGATTCTTTAAAAAATGAAACTAGCGATACTAAGTTCATACGCGCACTCAAGAATATCCTCATCAACAAAGCCTACTACTCAATTGATGAATATTTAAATGATAACGACATTGTCCTTAAACAACATAACGCATAACAACAGGCACATGACCATGATACATTTATTGAATTTTCATATATATATATATATATTTTAATTGTTTTAATTTTAGATGTAAGTTTTATTTTGCTGTGCCCTACAGGGTCCACGATTGTACCAAAGACTACAATATAATATAGGGGTACTTGGATTGTACTTAGCTCTAAGCTATTCTGTAACACGTCATAAATACATTGTGGAATGCAAATAAATATGAATATGAATTTTCTACTCAGGCTTGTAATGTAGGAATAAATACTAAACCGGAGTGAAAATCGATGAGATTTAGTTTTTCGTGTAGTAGGTAAACCCATAGGTAAAAATTTTAAACGACTGCTCACTGTTATTTTTCCAGAATGGCTTTCCTCATTCACAGTCACAGATGACTTACACAAAATCCCACAAAACCCCGGCTGCACATCAGACCTGTAGGGCCGTCTTTGGAAGCATTAAGCAATTTCTGATTTGCAACATGTCATTGATAATACTAAATTTAAACTTCGCGTTTCATATTTACAATTAATAATTACGTGGGTATTTAATGCGACCATTGCTGAGGCTCAAAGAACATGTCGCCGCAGTCAAGAAGCGACAGAGCAAAAAATCGGCGATAGCGATAGCGCAGAACACCTGCTCCAGGCTGGTTCTAATGTAAATCCTCTATGTTCTAATCACTGGATAGAATTCCACCGATGGCAAACTCTCTCCACTGATCGCCACTACCATACAAGACTTGTGCGTAAAGCGGTTGAAATATAGAAATGCCCAAATAATTTTAATCGGGACGACAGCTTTGAATTGTCATCAACGTGAAATCCAGTGATTCAGACGAGAAAGTTTAAAATATTTCGTATTGGTACGTATTGAGTACCTACCAACGTTACTTGGGTTTCAACCAGTTTCGGTGCGGGTTAGGACATCCTATACACATTGCAACCTGGAGCAACGTTCCAATTATCATTTGGAAAACTACTTTTCACAACTCCAGTATGTATCCTGTCGATGCGGTCGACTAGTTCATGACGTGCTGTGTTCCAAGTGAACTAAGTAATATAGAGGCTAAACGCGGTAATCGTAAAGCCCGCACTAGGCATAACTCCCAGGTTACTAGGAGTAAGGAAGAGTAAATGAACAAAAAACAACAAATACTTAAGACATAAGTTTATTTAGAACTTTTTGAAGGATTTTTTGGAGCCCTTGCCCTTCGTGACTTTGAGTACGTTGAAACGGATGGTCTTGGAGAGCGGCCTGCACTCACCGATTGTCACGATGTCTCCGAGTTCAACGTCCCTGGAATTGCACAATAGAGAATGTTGTAGAAAAATCTTTTTTATTTTGTGTCGTTTCAAATGAGATGTTAAATCAGAGTTTGGGTTAGAAACACGTCTTTCGTCAAATAGTTGTTCGGAAGACCGTCGTGTGAGTATCATCATTTTGTTTTGAAAGTTAAATTCATGATATTTTTGTTTCGGGCATTCATTTATTGTATTGTCTGAACAGTTAGGTAACATTACAATTAAATTCTTCTTCTATTGAGATGTAAAAATTGTTGGTTAGCTCACCTGAAGCATGGAGATAAATGGACCGACATGTTCCTGTGACGTTTCTCGAATCTGTTGTACTTAGGCAGGTAGTGCAGGTAGTCACGTCTGATGACGATGGTCCTCTGCATCTTCATCTTCTGGACCACTCCGGTGAGGATACGACCACGGATCGACACGTTGCCAGTGAAAGGACACTTCTTGTCGATGTATGTGCCTTCGATCGCCTGTATAGAAATAAGGAAAGTTGAGTATTTCGTTGTGGTTAGGCGAATGTTAGTTTGCTTTGAAGCGGATTAGTTATTTCCGTAGCCCACATGGATGAGTTTGTTTTTTTATGTATAATTGTAGCAGTGGAATGTAATGCTAAATTATCATTTATACTGTTGGATTAATGATTAAGTTAAGATTGCCCAATTATTGATAAACAAAAGAACATGAATTTAAGTAGCTTAATACACAGATGGTAATTTTTAAATTTATGCGACATTTTACTTTATGGTTTAATTAAAAAAATCGCTCCATCCACTGCTACAATCTATACTATGACCAAAATAATGTAGGTTCAAACTTTTTTACACTTGTTTGACTGTAATCAGAGTTTGGGTTAAAACACGATCATCGTCACTTGTTTGTCAGAAGACCGTCGTGTGGGTATCATCATATTAAAGTCATAAGTGTTTTTCCTTATTCCATTGTCAAGCCATTTTTAATAATATAATTTGAGTACCTTCACCTTATAAGTAAGTAGTGTTAATTATTTTGTGATATGGTGTAAGCTGTTTTGTTATTTACCTATGACCTGTTTTAGATTTACCATTAGTGCTTTAGGTATTTAAACTTTCAGAATTTATGCAAAAATGTTTACTGGTATTATCACTAAAGAAATTAACTGTCTGATGATGTCATGCAATTGTTATTCAGACTGCTTAAAGAGTATAAGGTTAAATTTTATGGGATTATAACACAATATATCACAAATGAGTTTATAAAAGGGGACTTCAGTGGGCAATTTTCATGATATAGAGGGCCATGACTTATACATATACTTAAAAATAAATAACAAAAGTTAAGTACATAATCTTAAATATAATAATATGGTAACATTGAGAGCAGCATGCATACCATACCTGCTGATGAAATAATATATCCTTAATATTAAAAAGAGATGAGACCAACACCTGATTTTGGAAGTTACCATTTTGATACTTGGTATGCATTAAATAGGGTCTAAATTTGTTTGTTATACACAGTCAAATTTGTTTATATAAGTGAATTTGTATCAAAATGGTAAATTCCTATGTAATCTGAACTTACTGGACAATTCCAGCCATGCACATGTTAAAGCAAGCTCCTCCTGACCAACATGGACCAGCTTTGTGAACAATTGACTTTAAATTTTGATGCATCTCAATTCGTTTGAATAACCTTTGAGATGCGAGCCTCTACAAAAACTTACTTAGTAAGTCAATTCTTGTAGATAAATGCTCCAGAAAAAAACTTCATACTCTTGGTTTTATTCACTTTTGAATATGTCCAAATTATAAATACAGTCAATTGAACACAAAACAAACAACGTAGCCACCACCGCTGCAAGCCTCGTTCCCATCGACCATATCTAAAAGTACCACACCTCACGCGGAGTCTTGAAACCAAGACCGACATTCTTAGAATGTCTCATGTCTTTCCTCTTCAGTCCCCCCTTCTTGTTGAGGAAGACCGTAGCCTGCTTCTGAAACGCTTTCTCTGTCTACGGAAAAATAAACACGTTAGTTCACACATCATGCGTTACCTCGCGAGGTGTTTTGAAACCGAGTCCCACATCTTTGTGGTACCTCAGTGGTTTCCTGCTACGCTTCACACCGATACCCTTTTTACGGTTCAAGAAAACCGTTGGTTGCTTTTGGAATGAACGTTCCGTCTGTAATTTTATCAATACATTAGTATTATGATAAAATATTGCTAGTTCTAACTACTGCAAGTGTGAAGGTAAGAAAGGATAGGACGGAAGAAACTTAGATTTAAAGCAACTACAGACAAACTACAGCTGAAAAAAGGAACATTTCAGAAATGATAAGTAGAAAATTATAATACACAATTTTTCTGGTGATAATTTTAACTTAAAGCAATGGGATTATAATTTGTTTAATCCTTTAAATTGAGTGGATATGTCATTATTATCAACAGAAAAATAAGCAACAAAACTATTAAGTAGGTGGTAATAAAATTCTATTACCACAAACTCTTTTAATCATGTGAAACTTTTCTTTTTGCTTTGAATAAATGAAGTACTGTGAGCTTGGCTCCTGAACACTATGTGGTACTAACGATGACTTATATGTGACAAGGCTGCTTTATAGCCCTGTATCTGTACCTCCTTTGTATACAAAATGAAGATCATTGATGACTATAATCAGAGTTTGGGTTAAAACACGTTCTTCGTCACTTGTTTGTCAGAAGACCGTCGTGTGGGTATCATCATTTTAGAGTCATTTCAAAGATCTTCAATGTGCTATTAATATAATGATTTGAAATAATGTCACAGAGAAAGCCTAGTCAAGACCTGGCTTGATTTCCATGTTGTGTACGCTTCTTTGAGTAACTTATTAATCTAGTATCATAATCTAGGGTGATTTATGAATTATAAAATTAAAGTTGGTGATATCAAAAATAGATTTGTCAAAGTTGTTGTTGTGAATCAAGTTTTTGTTTGGTTTTCTACAAGTTTTCGTGGATTCAGAACTTTTTTGGAGTTCAAAAGAAGATTATCACACCCATACACAGTTGTAATCGTCGAATTTTGAGATATTTCACTTGTAAACATAACCTCCAAAACCGGTCTAAAAATGTATCTTTATAATTTTGCGGCCAATATTTGTAACCATACACAAAACTATGATTTTAAGCATGTATTTTACATTATAATTACACAGAAACGGAAAACAATCGGTACCAAAACTAACCTATCGATCGAGCACACTGTCATTCTGAAATACAAATTACAGTACACTGGTAGCGTATAAATGAAAAATTATAACTGTAATCATTGAGAACTACGGAAATAATTCTATTTACAACAACTTTTAATCCATTTTGATAGGCTTTTCGACGGAAAAGCCGAATCCCACGTGCACCAACTTAAAAATCACATTTTCACAAATATCACATATTAAACACTTGGAAATCATAGCACAGATAGAAAGCTATTAATTTATAAACACTTTATGGAGAAATTCAATAAAATTTGTCCATATTTCGAATTAATATATCAAGAAAACCAACACGTACCTGATCCGCCATCTTGCTTGACAACGAAAAGAAGGTCGTGTTGCAAGCTAACAACTAATGAAATCTCCTGCTTAAAAATAAACAATGTTGCCACTTAACTAAACGTTTAAACTACTTTTTTAGTTCTTTATTTTTAAACATTAGAGTGAAATAAAGATCAATTCCCAATTCCGAAAGTTAATTATAAAAGTAAAATAATTTTCCAATACCTTTTCTGGGTATCGAAACCTAAAACGATTGAAATTTTTTTAGCAAATGGCCAAATCATGTGATTGTTATTAGTATTTATTTTATTCATTTATGTAATGACCATAACAGTTTCTTTATCATAATTTAAATGATTTTAAAAGTGAAACAAAAAAGTACAATATTTTTTTTTTTTTTTGTTGGTAATAATAACTGAGTAGCATCTTGCATAGATTTTTTAAGCTTGTAACATTTATGAACGAAACTGTCAAAACGCGAATTGTTATGAAAATAATCGCTAACTTATTTTTCGCATTTTCGTCTGTTCATAACGTTTAACTCCATAATTTTGTTTTATTGCATTTTTAATTTTACATTTACCTCATATCGATATTAAATTGCATTCCGATGTTCACGTAGTGATCGCTATACGCGAGTGATGTTTCGGTATCTACCTTTTTGTTTTGTCCAGAAATATAAAATTTCTGGTTGATTTGCGATGGAGGAAGTGAGGCAGCTGGTGCAGGAGGAAGGCAGGGAGGCGCGGAACCTAGTTGCATTCCATGTGGCCGTCGACACACCAAGTAAATGCATTTTTTATTGTATACATAAGAATGTGCGTCAAAATCTTTTTGGCCGTGGGCGGTAGGTTTTGTTTCGGAAAACGTCGGCAAAGGAGTGCCTGCTTCGTAATAGACCATAGTTCAAAGCACAAATACCGTTCAAACGATTAGAATGTGGTCTTTGTCCATTCATTCAGCATAACATGCAGAATAGGAGGGTATCTGTGCGTTTTCTGTAAAACATGTTTTGTTTTGATCCCTGATTTTGTTTTGGGTATCTAATTATGCCGCGGTTATCACATAGGTTGAATAAAATTAAAGAAAAACTTAATTTAAATATATGATTTTTGTGAATTTAGAATGTACTTTGGCCATGTACCTACCAAACTTGCCTAGTATTTTTTGTATACACATATATGTGCACTTATTGGAAATAGCAATCACTTTATGTCTCTTATTTTTTTATTGTTGTCCGCATTTAGAATATTACATATTTTAATCTTTCAGTCATGGTAATTCAAGACATAACAGAATAACAAATTAATTATAGGTGAACAAATACTAGTGTTCACTTGGTATTTATAAATAAAAACATAACTTTGTGTCACAATTAGGCCCTACAGGCCAATGTGACCACCTGTAACTTTTTTATACTATATGCGTTATTATCATGTAGTCCATAGCTTCAGAAGAATATTAATTATTCAATATAAACTGCTGTGTACCAAAAACCACCAAAAAGGTAGATTATATTAAAAGAACAGTGAAAATTTTATACAAAAGAGTTTTTATTCTCAACTTAGTTGTAAATGTAGGTACATACACTTATGCCAGTGTTAGTTAGTCATAAAAACTAAATATAGTTCATTCATAAGAATTATTTAGTTATACTTATGAATGGTATTACAATGTACTTTGAATATTAACTCATTATTCCTTAATAATAGTGTTGCATTGTATTTGTTTTGTAAACTTAACATGATTATGATGATTATTATAAATAAAATTACTTAACAAAGATTATATAATAATAAAAAAATGTTTAATTTCAAAAACATGTACATGTATGAGGAAGCAGTTCCTTATTGTGCTTGGCCTGCATCTCTGGCTGCACATAAATCTAAATCCTGTACTTACTTACCTTAGATAATCCATTACAAAAGCCTGTTTGCTTAAAACCTCCTTGAGATTAGAGTTATGTCAGATCACCTTCAATTTTAGCAAAATTGCAAAACAATGAGAAGTGGTAGAGGATGTAAAACCTTGTTATGAACTTTACAACTCATAAGTTTCTTCCAAAACCAAAATAAACAACATCCGAATTGGTGGGGATGTAGTTTATAATCAGAAGAACTTAGGATAGGGTAGGGTATGTAGGGTAAGGTAGGCTATAGAAGGATAGGTAGTGTAGGTAGGGTAAGGTAGTGTAGTGTAGTGTAGGTAGTCAAACGATGGGAGTGAAGATGAGCATTGAGTAACAAACCTTCCTCTGTGGAGTGAAGTCATGGGTAAAAGTTAGTATCTAGTAAACGGGTTCAAAATATATCTCTTTGTGAATGAATTCTGCCTCAACTCTTTATTCATAGGTGACATCATGCAATATTAAAAACTAACATTTTATTGTAAGATTTGTATTTTAGAAGAAACAGGAAAAATTATATATTAATATTATAGAGGTAAAATTTGTATGTTTTGCATGTTTGTATGTTTGTAAGTTTGTATGTAGGGGGTAATCTTTGGAACCGCTAGTTGGATTGCTAAAATTATTTCAGTGATAGATAGCTACAATGTTCCTGAGTGCTAAAGGCTATAAAACATCATGCTACGATCAAATGGAGCCGAGCAGCGGGTGATACCGCGCGAGAGTAGCTAGTGATTTATATTTTAGAAGAAACAGAAAAATATGTTTTTGACATTTTAAATTTATCCAATTGCTGGAGGATTAAATAATATAAATTAGAATAAAGACATACCTAGTTAGCCCTTACACAATTTACATTTAGTTAGTAACATAATATAATTATTTAACAAGACTGATTAATAAACTCCAAAAAGCTCTAGTCTTTATCTCTATTTATTACTTGTCCAACTTGGACTATGTACATATAAGGTGCTTCAGATTTACATTAGCATACTAATAATAGCTATAGTTAGGTAATTTCTAAGAAATGTTGACTAATCAGAGCTGTTTAGACAGATGCTGTTGTATTTTGTTATCAACCATTGATGAGTCACCTGCTTTACTTAAATAGTTTGGAATATTCATTCATTGTAGTGGGGATTCGAATTTTTTGTTGACTATATTTGTACATGTTATTTATGAAGAAGGAAATATTGTAAGAAGGCAGAAAAAGGAATGAATTTATTTTGAAAATTTTTTTACTTGTTACGATGAAGTCTTATTTGACAAGTGATGCTAATTTTTTTCATTGATATTTGATTATTGGCGTAATAATTGCAAAAATGGAGACTTTGATTAGAATTTTCTTATATTCATCACTACATAGTGTGACACAAAGTCGCTTTCCTGTCCCTATATCCATATTCCGGAAAGCAGCTTTGCTTAAATCTTTAAAACTGCTAAAGACTGAAACAATTGGTTTGGGACATTTCATGAGTCCTATTTTCATATGTGATTAAAGCAATTTTATTAGCCATCTTGTTATGGTATGTACGTAATTGCTTACAACATTGTAAGTTAAGAGTTATACTCAATTGATTTGCTGGATACGCATCGAGGCACAATGGGACGCATCGTCAATTTGTTGTGACGATATTTTATGGCCGTCGGCGTCCTGTGTTCAATAAAGAAATGCGATCACAACCAAAGACAAAACAAAGCAACTTGTTCGTGTTAACTTTGACGACAAACTTACAAACTTTTTCTACAATTTATTTCACCACTTGGAGTATTTAAACTTATTTTATTTGACAAATTTTAGGAAAACTTACAGTTTACCAAGTTCAGTAGTTCGGTTGTAAATAACGTTAATAAGGTCAATTACAAGTTTTCGCAGATATAAAAGTAGACATAGATATGTAATTTTGTTATAAGGACTAAGTATAAAGTTTTTTTTTTTTTTTTTTTTTTTATGGCAATAGAGTCTCCACTATATAGTAGATGACTATTCTGCCAGCGTCATGTGGTATGGCAGATGGATAGATATAATTCTGACGAACTTTATCGCTTCGAGGTATGTCTGCAATGTTAGTAGCTGAAAGACAGGACACAATTTAGTTAGTAAACATATATAATAAATAACAGTTTATATATTTGAAAAAAAAAACATTGAACACAAAACACACACATAGCATAAACATTTTAAACATTATTGTATTATGTATACATTAGATTTTAATATTGTTTTTAGTAATGAATTTAGCCAGAAGGTTAATGAGTTTAGGGGAGAAATGGGTTAATAGTGTGCGAAAATTAATTGGGAGGGGGATTTTAATACTAGGGAGTTCTTTATATAGGTCTAAATATTGGCAGTATAAGGAACAAGAAAAAAATATATGTTCGAGGGTACCCTCATCAAGACCGCATTCGCATACGGAGTTGTCACGAATGCGAATCTTGCACAGAAAAACTGGACTACTGCAGTGGCCAAGTCTAAGTCTACACAAGGACGTAACAGCTTGTTTCGGGATTTTAGGAAATTTAAAAAACCAAGGTTTCCTCTGGATACTAGGCTGGAGGGACGCGTAATAAGCTCCTTTATGCTGCGAAGTACTTTCCCATATCGAGGACCACGTGTCATAGAGCTTTCGTTTTGTGTCAGCTCGGATATCATAGCTGGGTATAACGAAATGGTGGCGTTCCGCTTCACCTGACGTTGCAAATTTTGCCAACGCATCGGCACATTCATTTCCACGTATACCAGAGTGGCCAGGGATCCAGACTATTTCGATATTAAGCCCTTCATTATGACAGCACCAAAGGAGGTGTTTAATATCTACAATTAGTTGGCTATGGGTTTTGGTGTGTAACTGATTTTGGCCTAAAGATTGAATGCTACTAAGGGAATCTGAAAAAATGACGGAGTTTTTAATATTATGACTTCTAATAAATTTAACAGCTTCTAAAATTGCAACGCATTCTCCCGTGAAGACTGAAGCCTCTGGCGGACACTTAAAAAGCATAGCAATTCTGGAGTTCTGAAAATATGTTGCCACCCCTGTACAACCCTCTTGGGTCAACTTTGACGCATCAGTGTAAAACACACTCCAGCCCTTCCAGTACACTTCCAGTGCCCGCTCAAAGTTTCCAACAATGTTTGCCGAAGATTTTGAAATACCAAGCCCCAGAACAAGCTTTGGTTTGAAATGGATGGCTTCGTATGCAGAAGAGAATACAGGGAGAATTGGGGATTGGCTGACAGAAGCCGAAAGTGTTTTAAGTTCTCTGAATCTGACAATCACCGGGGGTATAGGTTTGTGGAGCCAGTAGGAAGAAGAATCATAGGAGAGGAGGATTTGATCCAAAATGGGAAGTAGAGGATGGGATGAGCGGGAGAGGACTTTGGATATGAAACGGTCTGCGAGGTATTGCCGTCGAAGCTCAAGAGGTGGTTCAGCACATTCCACTTGTAGGGCATTTATGGGTGATGATTTCATTGCTCCAATGATAGTCCTAAGGCATTTGGCTTGGATGGAATCCAGCCTTCGCAGTGCTTCCTTATTACAAGGTATAATAAGGAAACAGCAGTAATCTAACACACTCCTAACTAAAGCATTATAAACCAGCTTTAAAGTGCATGGATGGGCACCCCACCATACTCCGGCTAGAGCTTGGAGGATACACACGGTACGTTCAGTTTTTTTAATTACCGTGTCAATATGATCGACTCCTGACATCTTGGAATCGAGGGTAACTCCTAGAAATTTGGCCTTCGCCGTAATTGGAATAGTCTGACCGTTAATAGTTATATTTAGATCTGGGGTACGACGTCTACGTGTAAACACAACAGCAGAGCTCTTTGGAGCACTCAAAGATAGTCCATGATCAAGAAGCCATTGGTTTAATGAAGCCAAAGAGACATTCATAGAAGATGCGGCATCGACTATAGAGTGACTGGAGACCATCAGTGCAATATCGTCAGCATACTGGAGAGATTTACAATCAACGTTTAAGCAAGAAGGGAGATCAAAAGTATATATGTTGTAAAGGATAGGACTGAGGATTGATCCCTGAGGTAAGCCCCTCCAGGCAATCCGCCGTGCAGGGGTCTCCTCAGGAGTTCTTAATTGAAGGATGCGGTTGGTGAAAAGGCAGCAAATAATTCGTATAATCCCACTTGGAATTTTCAGCTGTTGCATTTTCTGCCTGAGAAGGGGTAGGAGTACGGAATCATAGGCTGATGAGATATCCAGGAAGACGGCCACCAACGACTCATCCCTGCAAAGAGCCAGCCGTATCGCTGAAGTGAGGGTACCCACACTATCAACGGTGCCCAGACCTTTTCTAAAGCTGAACTGAGTCGCCGGAAGCAGCTCCCGGCTCTCCACCAACCACTCTAAACGGTTCTTTATTAAATGTTCAAATACTTTGAGGAGTATGGACGACAGTGCAATCGGTCTATAAGACAAATGATCACTAGAGTCTTTGCCAGGTTTCAGTAGAGGCATAACAACCTGAACCTTCCATGCTGTGGGAATGTAACCGGAAGTGAAACAAAAATTGGCCAAGTCAAGGTAGTACCGCCGTGTTTTTGCTCCACTTTTAGTCAAAAATGAGTACGGGAAACCATCTATTCCAGGAGCAGAGTCCTTGACATGGTTCAGAACTGTTTCAAGTTCTTCTATAGAGAACGCTACGTCAAGAGGATCACGAGTCCGTGTTAAGTCCCCTAATTCGCACTCTTCCTCTCCAGGGACATATGTGGGAGCAACGCTTGAAAAGAAACGGTGGCACAGATTTTCTGGTAACATGGGAACAGAAGGTGGTCTTGTGGAGTTTCTGAAACTTTTGACTTTTCGCCAGACAGTGGTTATTGGAGTCGATGGATTCAAGGCACTACAAAATTTTCGCCAGCCTTGTCGTTTCTTTTTTTTCAGTAGTTTCCTTGACCTTGCCAATATTTGCTTGAAAGATATGAGATTACCCAGGCTCATGTCACGGTTATACGTCTTTTCAGCTTCATTCCTGGCCCTAATCACGGCAGTGCAGTCACTATCCCACCACGGCGGGAGAGGAATTTTGTCTTTCGGCGGATTTTTGGTTGGGAAACAATCTGCAGCTGTGGAAGATATTGTTTCCGAGAAGCCGGAGAAGCATTCTGGAGCGTTCCCAGCATGAATATGTGGAAGGGAGGAGATACGGAAATCTAGCAGTTTGGAATAAAGATCCCAGTCCGCTGATTCTAAGCGGTATTTTAATAATGGAGGGAGGAATTTATCAAGGGTGGGAATGGATTGGTTTGTGACTATGATGGGATAGTGATCACTACCATAGGACAGATCTAAGCGCCTCCAGTCCAGCATGCTAGCTATGTTAGGAGAACAAAAGGTCAAGTCGACGCAGCTGTTCCTTTGGCCAAATGCAGACCTTCGTGTAGCACTGCCATCATTGATGATACATAGATTAAGCTCGTCTATGATCTCTAATAATTCTGTGCCTATACTGTCACACATGTCTGAACCCCATCTGTAATGATGACAATTAAAATCACCCATTACTAGTAATGGACCACTAACAGTATTTAAAAAATGTTTAATTGACTGTAAATGACTAATGTGTGGGTGTGCAATATAAAAAGCAAAAATGTTTATATCCTCAACCTTAACAGCAACAACATTTATGTCATCACTAACAAAGGGTAGAGGAATATTAGAGTACGGTACTTTGCTATTAATAAACAAAGCACAGCCTCCATAACCATCTGGTCTATCATACCTGACACTGCTAAAACCCGGCACCCGGAAATTAAAATCCGGACTAAGCCATGTTTCAGCAATGCCACACACCAGAGGTTTGTACCTATTTATTAAATGGAGTAGGTCAGTTTTCTTCGGAAGAATACTCCTCGCGTTCCATTGAAGGAATGTTAGGGGATGGAATGTTACCAATATATTGTAGAATGTTGGTCAGTTTAACGGCAACGTGGTCAGGTATGTTTTGTGTAGGATTTTCTAATACTGCCATAAGCATATTAGTGATGAGATTTAAAACATTTTTAGGGTTACGGTTGTTTTCACCCTCCAAAGGATAGGCGCAACCATTTTGTGATGGGGAAAAGGAATAGTTATGGATAAGGGCTCGGTGAGCTTGCTTATCATAACTAGGAGTCAGAGGGGCATGGGATTTAGGTTTTAAAAAGACAGTTTTACGGTAAGATTTGGGAGTTTGGGGAGTATTATTATTATGTTGGGGCAGTTTGGGTTTAGGTTGTTGTAAAGATTTTGAAACCTCTGCATATGACCTCTTGGTGGTGGGAAAGACCTGACTCGCTTCTGCATATGATATGGATTTTTCCGCCATGAGGGCCTTTATACTCCTCTGACGGCCTAGCTCAGGGCAACCTTTGCTATTGGCAAAGTGATTGCCATGACAATTGACACAGGTTGCAATGTCATCTGAAACCAGACAACCATCACCAGGATGGTCCTGACCACATCTGAAGCAACGAGGCTTTGAGCGGCATAAGGTACGTGTGTGTCCAAAGCGGCAGCAGTTAAAACATTGTACCGTGGGATATGTGTATCTTTCTACTGTAAGAGCAGTGTAAAAACAGTAAACTCGTTTTGGCAAAATTTGACCGTCAAATGTGAGGACAACCGTTTGTGTAGGTTTCCACTCTGAGCCATCAGAGGAAACGACTTTTCGGTTCATTCTCCTTGCCTTGATAACATTGCCACATCCAGAGGGGACCCTGATATTTTCAACAATTTCCTCCTCAGTCCAGTCTACGGGGACATCTCTAACAATACCCATACGTGTAATGTTAAACAGTGGAATGGAAGTTATATAATTATGTTGGGCTACGACTCCATTAATTAAGAAGCTGTTAGCGTCTTGGTGTGACTTAAATTCCACTGAAATTTTATTTCGTCCTAATCTTTTGACACCATCCATCCGTACATTGGTTATGTTGTTCTTCATTAAGAACATGCCAAATTTCACAGGGTGTAGGGTTGTGCCTGAGGTTTGCGAATCTCTCAAAGCAACATGAACAATATACGGTGGAGCATCATTGGGTGTGTAGCACTGCCTACCGTTAACTTTTGCCACTTTGGGTGGGTTAATTACAGTAACTGGGGGAGATTGTGCAGGTCTTTTTCTATTTGAAATATTTTCTGCATCCATGGCATCATTTCCGGGGTTGGGGAGGGTAACAGTCATTACAGGGGTGTACTCGAATAGTTTATCTGGAGGGTCGGGAGGTTTTTTAGCCTCCATATTAAAAACAAATAAAATTAAATACTCTTAGTATTAGGGGAAATTTTACTCACCTTACCAATAGTTTTTTAAAACAAATATTGGACAATCACAACACAGAGGTGGTTTCAACTTATAATTCAATAAAATAATATTTAAGTTGAAAAAAAACCTCGTGGCACTGACAAAAACACCTATGTCCTTCACCACTACCTACGAAGCTCCCACTCAAGTATAAAGTTAATAGCTATTCTAAAATGGTTTTTGTTGTTATTTTGTAACCAGACTGTAAGAAGGGTATGTTGTTACATGTACCATCGTAACGTTACAGTAAAATCGCTTCTCTTATTTTAGACATTAAACACTGTTTTCCATGTGTTTCTGGATAGAATTTCAGGTAGGGCAAAGTGGTATTTAGTTGCTGGAAGCAGATTTATTAATTTTACCTCGCAATATTTTATTGCCCACCCTTTCAATTCAGAGTAGGAACAATTTAAATTTAATAGTTCTACCAAAATGCAGAGCTCAACTAACTTACTCTAATCTTTATTGTTTGGTAATAAAGCTGAAAGTCATAAACAGGCAAATAGTGGTAGGTTAATGTGGTCTCTATACAAAAGCGGTTCATAATTTCAACTTGACCTCTCCTTAAATGGTGGCAGCCTTTTCGTCTCCACAATAGATTTTGTATAAGGAATTACTGATAGCGATCGGTAACAAATCTAATTCTAAACATCTGCTCAAGTGATGGGAAGTAATGTCTGTCGTGAAGGACAAAACGATTTATTTTTAGTTTAGTATGAAAGGTTTTTGTTTATTGTTTGTATCTGTTCAATGGGAAATCATCAAATGACTCCTCCCTCTCTGGATAGGACGAGAGGGAGTGCTAGACGTTTACTGACTTAAAATCACTAAGTTCTTTCTCCTGAACCGAGCCGAGGCCGCGATCCATTATAATGCTTGAACTCGCATCCCTGACTGATTCCTATACACATAAAGGAACGATATTGTATATCGGATTCGGTTGGTAGATGGTGGAAAACCAGTTGTGGCAAGAATCGGAAGACTGCGCCCACATCTAAAATCTATCAAATTTTTGAATTCGTCGCGAATTACCACGATTGAAAGGTTAAGAACTTAGAAGATAGTTTGGTCTAACGGATACTAATTTGCCTTTGTCCCCGCAGGTCGCATCTCCCGTAAGCCGCCGCGTTCCGGCGCCCCTCCGCCACGGCGCGCTACTCCCCGCGCCGCCACACGCCTCCGCTCGGCATCGGCTGGCAGGGACAAGCGATCTGAACTGCGAGCCAGATACTGGGCCCTGCTGTTTGGAGACTTGCAACGAGCTGTGAGTATAATAACACTTTTTATGTAAAGATGGGATGACATGAAAACAAAAATCAAATGTGAGAGAGCTAAGCTTCGGCACGAATGGGTCGGCTCAACCGGAGTGATAACCGTGAAACAGCCACAGCGTTGTGTTTCGCTGTGTGAGTCAGGTTACCGGAAACTCAAACCGTCCCCCTCCCCATCCTTTACCAATCCTTAAATGTCAACAACCCTTAATCCCGAAATCGCAGCAACGCACTCTCGTGTTGCGGATGTCCATGGGCGGCGCCGAATGCTTACCATCAGGTAATCCTACTACTCAATTGCCGACGTATTCCATAAAAAATAGTACTACCGCTTTGGTGGGGAAGGAGCGAGCGGCAGAATCCAACTGACTAAAACATTGTTTTAATTCCTGATGATACTGTTGGTAACACTACAAAACTTCAGCGGCGTACTGTCATTGTGGTGATGTTTTACAACTGGTTCATCGCGTCTTCCATAGTTCTGGGGTTTTACATAGTGATTCTTAATTCAATAGAAACTATTTTAGTCAGCTCCGAGACATGGGACGTGACAAGATATTACCATGAGAATGATCACTTATCTAGACAACAAAATCAAGTTGAGTCTGACTAATCAGTCTTCCTCAATCAGATCTGGAATCTGATTCTCAGATTATTTCTTAACTACAGATTAAATACATAGCATTATATTCAATACATAATAATGGCTGCTAAAATAAGATACTGTAAACAATTTAAAACCAAACATACAAACATTTACAGCCAGTAAATTGTAATTCTAAAAACAAAAATCAATCGGTTGTCGTATAAAAATAGAACAGCATCGAATATTCAATTGCACCCTAACTGGCGGGTTCCTGTGTCCGGTACACGAGTACTAAAGCTCCATTTAAATTATTCGAAGCGGCCCAAATCAATTTGAATTCGGAATGAGCGTAAAACTGTCGACGCTCATGTGCAATGGGAATTAGCTGTCTTGTCTGTACATGTCTAACGTAAATTGATTCCAACTGACTTCCAATTTCAAAATTGAATGAAGCTTTATTTTACTTTCAAATTATTTCCTGGAAACTTGACCTTTTTGCTCTTGGTGTTTAGTCTGTAATGGATTTAATGAAATTATATATTTCGGTTTTTGTTTTCCATTAATAAAACATTTAAGGCCCCTTTTTTTGAAGCGTGTGTTTAAAGACTGCACGGTTGACGTTAGTGGCCGGGCAACAGGCTGCTGTCAAACGTGTCGTGGATTCGATTCCCACCTTCATCCCCCCGCTAGCTGTTCCTTTAAATCTGCGAGGCTTATGGATGTGAATTTGTATGTTTAAACGCATCCACAGGAGTAAAAAATTAAAAAAAGGTGGTAGGGTAAAATTATATTAGCGTTATTATTTGGTTAATGTTATTCTGTCACTTTTGGAGACAAACATATTGCCAAATTCTGTCTTAAATCCCAGATTCTGTATAACTGATACCACTTCTCAGTTCTTAAGTCGACTGTCCCTATTTCTGGATGCCGTTGGATGGATCCAGGGGTTCTATAGAAAACCGCGTTGTTTCTCTCAAGTATCAAACACCCATGTACATTTGTCGAGTAAAACTGAAGTATTTGATACAGAAAACGCCCTCGCTTGCAGTGCCTTTTAACCTTTACTGCAAGCAAGGTTCAGTATTGATCGCGTTATAAATACAACCTTCATACTGTGACCTTTATATTCTCGTGGACATTACATACAAAGCGCATATGTTTTTTTTTATATGATAGGAGAGGACGGCATACCATCTGGCGTGTCATGTGATTGTAAAAACCAGCGCCATTGTTGCCTATAGACACAAGTCTCAAGGATCTACTAGGGTCTTGAGATATGGTGGTCTAGAGGGGAGCGCGGGGGGGGGGGAGGATTGGCCTTGAGAACTTCACTCACAAAGTAATATGTGTATTATAAAAATTTGGCTTGTGTTGTGACACAAGCCAAATTTTATGCTGGTTTTCTCCTTGGTGACACTCCGGTTTATACATTTGTGCCTGTATAAGACTATTCCACACCCTCAAAATTTTTTTCGTGAGAAGTAATGTCATATGCAATGTAACATCAATGTAAAAGGGAGTATGTCTGTTAGCGTAGTCATTGTTCACTCTTAATATTTAAGCGGTGACGCCTACCCTGTTGCTCTGTTTACGCCGCACGCAAACAAGCAACAGAGAGCGTTGCGTTTTGCTCGCGCATCAAAGATCTTTAGACCACCACAGGTGGGACCCAATAGGACTGATGTCCAAACGGGGTTGCGGGTGCAAATAATAATGTTCCGTGGCAACGGCCCGGAGTAGGAGAAGAAACGAGGTGGTTTTTAGTCAGTAAGAGTCTGAGACTTCCTTCCTTCGGCGGAAAAGTCAGATGACAAAATGCTTTCTCGAAAAAAAAATTTTTTTGGCCAGCACATTTTATGCCGTTTTTAAAGAGAAAGTCCCGTTTTTCTTTTATTATTGTATTTTAATATTATTGTCCGAATTATGTTGTGAATTTTAAATTTAAAAGCTTAGCAATTCTGATACTAAGGTTAAAGTTCAAAACAGCGACCAACTCTGTGTTACAAATTATAATTTAGGTTTTGAGTGCCACTAGATAATGTAAAATTTTACGTCTGTAATCGCACCTACGGCATAAAACTACCTAACTAACTAACGTTACGTGAGGCAAAGTTTTATTAAAAGAAAAAAGTGCAATATTAACTGAATTCCTTCTACAATACTTCTTGTTTAGGTATCATCTACTTAAAGTACCATATTCTTTCTAAAAGAAATAATAATCTTAAAGCTCTCTCCATGTTATATTACGGCGCCCCCGGCGAAGTATCTCGAATGCATTTAATAAATATATACCTGTAGCACAGTCTGTGACCTTAGTCCACAATGACATCCCCTGTCGAGACAAAATCGATATTTCCCGGAGCCGAGCGAGCTTCAAATTGCGAATTGAAAATATGTTAGTGCATTATGCGAATGATAAAATTATATTTATTTTTGTAAATATACTTCTTACTAGGACTTTTAGATGTTGCTATTTTAAAGCCTTTTTAAAGGGCTACTCTCGAGGGCAAACCGAAATAAAATTTAAGGGTTTTAAAAGAAAAATGGGTTTGTGGTAAGCGATGATATAATTATGTATGTATGATGAAGACTCGCCTGTCTTCAATCGAGACTTGATACATACAGGTAACCTTTTGGGTACATTCTGGTAAGGAATTCTATCCCGTACCGGTTGTCATAAAGAAAACTTGAAGTTAGACGTTGTGGAATATTTCATCATAAAAAATCTGGATTTACACCTGTGTCGTTGGTGCGTTTACATCACAAACATAAAAATTCACATACACAAGTCACACAGACGCGAAACAAAAATTTGCAGACTGATTTCCTGATGGTCTGACCAATCTGTTCTGTCCATGGATAATCGCAACACCGAATGAGTAACGAGTGCGTTATCGGTCTTTTAGGGATTAAGGTTTTGGTCATTTAAGAATTGGGATACCTAGGGGAAGGGTCGATTTTTTTTTTTTTTTTGGTGTCGGATTGGAAAATCCTCATGGAGACCCACCACCCTCGGGGAGGGGCGAAGGGTACTGTCAGACTCATACTGACTAAAAACCAACCCGGTGTTCCTCCACTTACCCATGTGTCGGAGGGGCGGGTATCGCCGAAGCATTCGTCGCATCCCCCCGACGGGTATTGGCCCGCCGGATGGTTAGGCGGGCCCCGTCACCCACTGCGGCCGTCACCCCGACCGCAGGACTCCATTATGAGGCGCGCGCGGAACACGGCGCCGCCACCTCGAGGCCTGCTGCTGGTCGGACGACAAGACGCCCCGAGTCTGTCGTCCGCAGGCCGCACCCTACGGTGGCCGCAGGTCGGCCACCCTACGACGTCTAGTGCGTCTGCTGCGGGAGGGGAGAGAGGAGGCAGCCTCTCTCTCCCTTTCCGCCGCCTCCTTTGCGAGCATTACGGCTTCGCAAAAGGTAGCGACGGCACTCCACCCTGACTCGCTCCCGACCATAGTAAACACTACAGCCGGAAGCGAGAGATATCCCGCAGCACCTACGGCCGCGAACAGGTCACGGCGCTGCTCGGCCCAAGCTGGGCACTCCACCAAGGTATGCAGCGCCGTATCATCGCGGCAATCGCCAGAATGGTGGCACTGAGACGTCGGCTCCCGACCTATGCGTCACAGGTACTTCCCGAAACACCCGTGTCCAGTAAGCACCTGCGTCAGCCGGAAACTGAGGGCGCCGTGGCTCCTATTGAGCCACTCCTCTAGAAAGGGCCTTACAGCCGCTATAGCGACGTGCCCCGCCGTGGGTTGCGCTAAACGCGTCTGCCACTCCGCCACTAAGGCCTGGCGGAGTTCTGCCCTGCGTGCCTCAACCTGTCGAGGCACCAGGCGTTCGCCTCGCTCGACTGCTTCCACGCGCCACCAATAGAGCGACGCGACGAGTTTTGCGTCGAGGTCCCGGGGCGGGGAAAGGGTCGAGTGAAATATCGATGAGCGAGGTTAGAATGTCGTTGAGTTTTCGCCATTTTGGCGTTGAGTTTTCGCCGTGTGAGTGAGGTTTTTGCTTTAGTTATGTGATTGTTTCTCACCAGTTTTCCGTGATCCGTGTGGATCACTCCTATCGAGCCGAAGCATGGCTCTCTTACAATTTTTGGATGGTGCTGTAAAATGAAGACCTATCACTTAACCTGTGAAAAATGGATGTGCATATTTTATGAGCATCGCTGTTAACTTCTTCGATGGTTCGACGGCAAGCTATTATAGTTATCATCTTATGAAAAGGAACTAATTTGCCATTCAAATCAAAGTTGAATACAAAATCAATATTTATCGGATCCAATTGAGCTTCTACCCGTGATTTGAAAATGGCAGTGTATTACTGTATGTATGTGCTTATGTAGGTATATGACTATGTTGCAAGCATTAATTGTTCAATTAGATTATTAAGGAAACGTTTGAATGTCGGGTTTTGTATATATTATTGTTGTTTTGGATTTAGTATCCAGATTGTTTTGATTTTTCCCTGCATCGTAGGCGAAAGAGTGTATCCATTAGATACATAGCTGATTGCACACTCAGTGCGCAGTCACGTTCCTTGTTTCTTTTTGTCAAACTAACATTGAATTTGTTTATTGTTCACAGATTGGCGAGATTTACAACACCGTCGAGGCTCATGAGAACCTAAACGAGTGCCAAGAAGTGATCCTAGTTCTAGAGAACTACACTCGCGACTTCAAGGCACTCGGCGAGTGGTTCCGGTTGAAGTGGGAGTATGACAACACGCCTCCGCCTCAAAGACCACAAAGTCTCGCATGGGAGATTAGAAAGACAGACTTTGTACGACCAGAGTCACGAAAAGGCTATTCCGTCAAAAGTTCCCCATCAGTATCAGGCAAAAATAGTCCTTGCCTTTCTGGACATAACACACCAAGTGGCAAAAACAGCCCCAACTTAACTGGAAAAGCTAGCCCCGGTAGTGGTAAAGTTAGCCCACGAGTTACAGGACATTCCAACAACAGTCCAAAAGCGAATATTGAATTTTTCAGCAACAAAATTGCTTCGAAAATCACTGCTAAGCCTGAGCCAAAATCTGCTAAAGAGATATCAAGACTTTCCGATATAAAGGAGAAAGAGGTAAAGGACACAGTTGACGATAATGATGTCATTGATGTGATAACCTCTGCAGTTGACAAGGAAGAGAAATCAACAAAAGAAATAGTTGAAAAAAATAACAAGCTGATCAAAGAACCCGTCGTAGAAATAGGTAAGGCAAGAGAATGTCCAAATACTGCCCCAAAGATGGTGGTTATTAAATCACCTAAACGAGTAGCTCAGGAGGATGCCAAAGCAGTTAATGGAGATATTTCAAGCCAAGCTAAAGCTACTATTGCCAAACTAGACGCTATGGAGAATGAGTTCTTAGCTAAACAGCTTAGTGAAAATGCAGCTAAGAATGATAATCAATTGAATCTCGATAAAGAATCTGATGATGCAGCTTTTGCAAAACCCGCGCCCGTAATTACTACAAACTTGACAGAACACAACAAAATGAATGGCGAGAAAAATAAGGCTATCGATGAAAATAGTACTGGTGATGAAAAAACAAGCATTTCTTCTGTATCACCAGTCAAGTCTGAGGATAATTTTGGTGATGTATCCAATGAGAGTTACAAATCAAGCGACGAAAAAACTTCATCAAGCGGTGACAAACATGACGTTACTAAAACAGATGTCAAAGAATTAATTTCAGAAATAAATGACACCCAACATCAAAACATGACTATTAAAGACCAAGAAATTAAAAATGAAGACATAAAAGAAACTGATAGCACGAAAGTTGCCGAAAATGTTGGTAAAGAAATGCAAGACACTAAAGATTGTGAAGTTAAAGATAAGAAAGATCTCGACTCAAAAAAGATTGATCTCAGAACTACATCAGAAAAGCCGAGCACAAGACCGGCCTACTCCCAGGCAGCTGCCAAACCAAAACCAGTGACTACTCCCAAAGCTGAAGTCAAAACTCCAACCAGATTGATAGCTAGAAGCAAGACTGTCGTTGAAATGCGACCGAATCCCGCTTCTAAAGCTCAAAGACCATTCCCAAAACGCAACCAGACTAGCAAGTGCAGTTACCCTTTCAACCTTACAACGGGAAGGACATCTCTATTTGACGCTCCGTCCAATAAAGTAGTATCCAAAAAACCACCTATTCGCTCACAAATGGGCTCTGGCGATAGTAAGAACACAGCCAAAACTGACGTAAAGAAACGACCACCACGACCGTCTACACTCAAAATAAACGAGAAAGGTGATAAAACGGAGAAAGTGAATCCATCGTTTGATAAGAAAGAAGGCGAAGAATACAGCAGTAGTGATACTATTGTTACTCAAATAGATATGTCCCGCATTGAATCTAGTGAGAGTTTAAAGACATTAGTGCCAGAGGAAGGTGACTTCGCCAATTCAATCGAAGTACTTAACGTCGATAATGCTAAGAGCGACAATGATGGCTGGCTCACAGTCAAGTCTAGGCGACTTAGTCGCGAATCGAAGAAGCAATCTAAATCACACTGGGCTAACAGATTCCACCAGCCATCAGCAACCACCAGCTTGCCGACTCTTAATATGATTGAATCTCCTAAACAGGAGGTGAAAGAAATAGTATCGGTCTCGAAATTGGATCGGGCGAAGTCTGAACAACCACAGAACAAGCCAGAGAAGCCTAAAATTGTGAAAGCGAAACCTGAAGCAAAAGAGGTTAAGAAAGACTTGTCCATAATAAGACAAAAATCTGACGTCACTGGTCTGAAAACTCGCACTTCTAGGACCAAAGCTTTGAAACGTGAGAAAGTGAAGGACACTCCCAAAGATGATGGTTCGGAGTTGACTAAAAATCGCTTACATTCCTCCCTGGAAAGTCTTACGACTGGATTAGCAAGGTCCCAAGAAAAAACCGAAGAGACATTCGACTTTGACAAATGGAAATCTGAGTTCATGTCGACGTTCAAATTTTTGGAAGACGACGATCAAATGAATGATCATAATGAGATTCTGAAGACGGCAGATCCGTCAGAGATGTCGGAAATTGCTGAAATGACGTCACAGATTGAGGAGAATGAAAGGAAGATCAGCTTGGCTCTGGACTTCCAGTCGGAGGTCGATCAGAGGAAGTTGTGTGAGGAGGAGGATTTGTTGAACAGGCAGATTATGGAACTTCAGCAAGTTTCCGACATAGATCTGGATACGGAGACTGACGATACTGAGGTTAGTTTCTTTTAAATTTACATTTCCTCTAAGTGAAAGTAAGCCGAGTGTTTTTCTAGTATGGGGCGTTTGGTATATTTCATTTGAAACACTGTTACTTTGAACCTAAAATTCATTACTAGAAAAAAACTGACAAATACCTTATTGAGAATCACCAAAAATTGTATATTCGCTTGACAAAATGCTTTATTCGCGCGACTTAATTCATTAACAAACATTGATTACTTATTCAATGATATTTGTTTTAAAATATGATATTTATTTAGTTACATTTTATGTCAAATATATTTTGGCAGTTATTTGCCCTCTTTAAAGGCATACTCGAGAAAACTCGAATCTAATTTTACGTAAATATGTCTCTTTCTCACAGACTGACGCAGAAATTCTATGTGAGGATCCTTCAGCGGGTGCTTCTGGCCAATCTACCGAGAATTTGTCCCTAGCTGCCAGTTTAGAAGACCAGTATGAGACGGCCCTCGCTGGCATGTCCTGGGCTGAACGGATTGATACACTCGGCGCATTGGAGGCTTTGGTCGCCAGGGATCCAGGTAAATTGGTCATGATAAATTAGTATATCTTTTGGAAGTTTAGATAGGTTGGAAGAAGACTACAGCAACATATGATTATTAACATGTTCGTTCATTCTTTCATTCAGTCATTCATTTTTATATTGCCATTCATTCAACACAATACACAAGGAAAGGAACTGAAAAGCAAATCTGAGATATAGACAGAAAACAAAATTACCATTATAACTACAATTCGTATACCAGTAGTAACACAGCTTTTTGAAAACAGTTGTTTGTATACTAATTAAAAGATTAAAATTACATTTCATCTATACTAATATTATACTGTGCTTTGCCCGGCAGGGTCCATAATGATCTTAATACTGATACATATATAATAACACCTAATGTAACATTATGGAATGCAATAAACATTTGAATTTGAATTTATAAAGAGGTAAAATTTGTAAGTTTGTATGTAGGGGGTAATCTTTGGGACCGCTGGTCGGATTGCCAAAATTCTTTCACTAATTGATAGCTACAATGTTCCTGAGTGCTTATAGGATATAAAACATCACGCTACGATTTACGATTACTCAAACTTTTACTAAGTCTATGTGCGGTCCACGTACATTGACCTTACTGCCATACCGCTGACAACGCGAATCGACAAGTTCACCTGTCGCGACTAATATTTTTATACATGTAGAAATCACCAACCCTTTACAGTGTACGATACTAGTAAATATTAATTTAACATATTAATATGCCGCAAAACATCTTTTTCGTCTTAATAATGTGAAAAACCAATCATCCTTTTTTTGTTAATTTTCATTTGTTGTAATGGCCAGTCTCAAAATCCCTATCTAAGTGCAAATTTGGCTACAAAATATTATAAAACTTTGATATTAATGAGTCAAATCTGCCAGACCAGATAGAGGGTTTTGGGAGTGCTCCTTACTGTCACAATTAGAAAAGAAACCTCATTTTTTTCATGGTATAGAGGACAACGAAGCTGATGGATCGCTCGATGGTGAGTAATCGAAGCCCTCCTTACACACCCGCAACACCACCAAACAATGAATTTCTCTTTGCAAATAGGCCTTAAAACGGCACTTTACACGTTAATTATGTATAAAAAAATTAGATGCAACCGGCATTACCTATCTTTTTACTCTGAGTAGAAATGTCAAAACAAACTCAGAGGTCCATATCTTTTTACATTCAGAAAATGTAAAAAATATTAATAAAAATTGTGATATCCCATTCTGAAGGCAGTATTTTAAGTAAATTTTTATATTTATCGCTAGCCTTCGTTACAGGGCGCGCTCAACAATTACACGCGAAATTGTCCCAAGGCATCAAGCGTCGTGGCAGCTTGCAGGACGCACTGCGTCGACTCCAGTTAAAGCAAGCTCGGGCAGAGAGACAGCGGATAGAGTATCAGACGGAACGGGCGAGGAAGATACATCAGTTGCTGGCTAGAGTCGAGGAGGTCAAGGTATGGAGTCATTATTATCAGCCTTTAAGTGTCCACTGCTGAGCAAAGGCCTCTTCTCACATCGAGAAGGTTTGAGCATTAATCACCACGCTTGGTCAAAACGGATTGACCATTGCTTATTTATAATCAGAAATTACTAGCGATATTTCTACTCAACCACTCTTTTAAAAAAATGGCATCAAAATCCGTTGCATCGTTTTAAAGATTTAAGCATACGTAGGGATATAAGGACAGAGAAAGCGACTGTGTTTTATAATATGTAGTGATAAGTCCAGGTTTCCTAATGATGTATTCCTTCCTATGAATATATTTTGAGTACTTTATGAAAATATAGTTTTATATATATAAAAATAATAATATTATATTTTTTTTACAATTTATAATTTACTTTTTTACAAAGTAATTTTTTAATTATTTATTTTCCAGGTCGCTAAGAACGAGCTGATTGAAGAGAAGCGTCTTCGCATGGAGAGACGACTTCAGAAGGCAGCAGCAAATAGAGACCAACATCTCAAGGTACGTGGGTGGAAACATTCTCCAATCTTCAGAAACAATCATTTGCGAAAAGGGCACCATTTAAAATACATACTTTTGCATTTACAACTTACCCTACTTTACTTACACTTACCTACTGTACCCTACTTAAGCAAAATACCCCATCTTTTTCTTCTTATATATAGTCTACTAACTCCTCTTACGCGGTTTCACTCGCTGCTCGCCTCCTGCAGATCGTAGCGTGATATTAGCTCCGGAGATTAGCGCGTTCAAACAAACAAAAAACTACAGCTTTATAATATCACTATAGATCATACCTACCCTACCTGAACCGATTTCATCAGCCTATCAGTCGTTCTTGAGATTAGCGCTTACCAATATATTTAGTGACTAGCTACTCTCACGCGGTTTCACCCGCTGTTCGGCTCCATTTGATCCTATAGCACTCAGGAACATTGTAGCTATCTATCAATGAAAGAATTTTGTCAATCCGACGAGCGGTTCCAAAGATTACCCCCTACATACAATCTTACAAACTTACAGCTTTTACCTCATTATAAGATTAGTATAGATTCATTCTTATATGACACACAAGACTATGTTTGTTGTCGATTTAAATAACTACATCACCCCTACAACTAACTCAGCCGGGTTGCGGGGTAGGCGCAATGAGACACCCCAACTTCGGCCCAGAGCAGGAGAAGGAACAGGGGGGTTTTTAGTCAGTAAGAGTCTGACATTCCTACCCGCCCGGCCCTGGGCGGGAGAAGTCATTTGATAATATTCCCCTCACAAAAAAACCCTACAACCAACTCTTCTATCTCTCCAGGACATAGTCCGCAAAGCTCATGATGAAGAGGAGAAACTCCGTGAGATTGCGTTCATCAAGCATTTGGAAGCTGAGAACAGGAGACACGAGTTCCTCGACCAGTGCCGGTCGCATACCACTCGGCTACGGCAGATGAGGAGGGATAGACTCTCCAAACTGGTAAGAAAAATGCATTTAAAACTAAATGTATTGTAAATAACGACTCACTCGAGTAAACTGGAAAAACTCTTCTTGTTTCAAGTCGCAATAGGACTTTTATATTTCTTATAACCCTGCTCATGAATAAGAGTCCCGTTTTTACCCGACAACGGCAAAGCAAAAGGAGGGTTATGATTTTGACAGGCTATGTATGTATGTTCGTCTGTTCCCTCGTTACTTCTAAACTACTTATCAGAATTTGACAAATGACATAACATTAGAAACGTCTTAATTGTCCGCTGGTTATAGGCTATAGCCTATTTATTAGGGTATCATAAAATCCAATGTGGAGTCCTCTAGCGGACAAAACATTCAGAGTAAAAAAATAAAATGAAGATAAATATGCCTAAATGTTAATTTAAACTGTTTACGTAATACAACCGTAACGTCATTAGAGACTATAAGTAATATCTTTAGCCGGTAGAGTGTTTAGTGGTAGGTGTATATGAGGAATAATTTGTAGTATTATTTTAAAACGAGTAGTTTAGTTATAGATCTCTTTATAAAAATGTAATCGAATTAAGAAAGTGATTTGAAAGATCAGATACAGTCGATTGTGCTTAAGAAACACTACAAAACTCGCTTCATGCACCTCTGCATGACAATACAGATTTATTATCCAATATTATACATTTGAATGCTGTTTTCTTTCATAATGTTTATAATGTTAATTCAATTAAATATTTTTAATTATTAATATTCATTGATTAAAATTTAACAATTACCTACTCAATATTTGAAAATCGATTGATCGGTGGGATATGTTGTACTAATTTTGTAACTCCAATAACAACTTGTAATACCGTGTCTCTGCAAATAAAAATTATTTTATTTATTTTCAATCCCCATTGTAGGAGCAAAAAGCAGCTCGCGAAGCAGCAGTAGGCGCCCGCAGACAGGCGCTGGAGGCTGCCAGGAAGCTGCATGTCGAGACTCTGCTCGAGAAGAGGAAGGAGAGGGACGCCAGGGTAGAGGAACTTAAAGAACAGAAGAAACAAGAGAGAGACGATGCTGCAAGGGAGAAGGTGAGAGTTTGCTCTTGTTTTCTTTATTTGTTTAGTTTTGACTCATTATGTTGTCAACTCCGCCTAAGTTAGTTGTACTCATTGAATTTCAGCTTGTTTGATTCAAGGTAGCCATAAAAAAATAGTGGTTTTCAACTCGATATCGAATAATGAAAAAACTTTAAGTGTCGTGGTGGTCTAGGCGCCCGCTCCTCATGTATTAGTCCTGAGACCAAAACCTGTCAAATAACAATGTGACTTTTTCGAGTTATATGTACTTTCTATGATTATTTAGACACCGTTGACATACGGTGAAAGAAAACATCGGACTTATAATTTCTAATTATAAGTTTGAAATCGCCAAACGCCTTGAGCAAGCGTGGTGATTAATGCTCAAACCTTGACCGCGTGAGAAGAGGCCTTTGCTCAGCAGTGAGCACTTATATACCGATGATGATGAAACTTTTAGTAGCTACACAATTGAGCTTTCAAGTAAGCAAAATGATTCGATTTGTAGGCGTTTAATCGAATGAACTTTTTCTTTTCTTTTTACAAAAATCGTTGCCTCACATTCGGATTTTCTCCTGTGTCGTGGGTGTGTTTACAAACATACATTTTCACATGCACATCACACCCAGACCCGGAACAACAATCTGTTCTGTGGATCACACAAAGAGTTGTTCCGTGCGGGAATCGAACCCATGACACGTTGCGTGGCGGCCAGTAGCCCAACCACCGCGCCAACCGTGCAGTCAAACTGTATGATATTCTATCGTAACCCAACTATGATGTGCAATGAAAACAATTTCCTTTTTCCACAGGCACAAGGTGTAAAATCTCGTTTATCCGCTTTAGCGGCGGCGGCAGAGCTAGAAGCTGATGCACTGAGGTCCCGCATCCGCGACAAGCAGGACCGCAGCCAACTGAGGCTGGAGTCTCATCTACAGGCCATTAGGGAGAAGGCCACTACTGGACCTCGACAACCTGTACGTATTTTATTCTTTGGTATAAATGCTCTAGTCACGAAAGAAGAGAAAATAATAAGGATAATATTATACCTAAATCTTCGTCGAGGTAAGCTGATAAGTTTCAAGACACGCAGGGAACTCATGGCTTGACATCAATCGGGGTACCTCGTCAAACAGGCATATAAAATTATTGGCATGAATGTCCAACTTACGAAAGAAGGGAATAAAAATTAATAATATTTAAAGTAAGTCTTCGATGAGGTAAATTGATTAGTTTCAAGCTACGCAGGGAACCCATAGTTTGAAATCAATCGGGGTACCTCGTATTTAACATTTCATAATTGACGTAAGGAAGTCAAATAAAACACAGGTTTTTATCTTGGTACTTGGTATGAGGGTGCGGTTTCGAAACCTGGCAAGTACCAGTGTGACTTTTTCCGAGTTATATGCACTTTCTATGATTATTTAAACGCCACTGACATACGGTGAAGGATAACAACGTGAGGAAACCTGGACTTAAATTGTCTAATTATAAGTTTGAAATCTCAAATCCGCATTGAGCAAGCATGGTGACCAACGCTCAAATCTTCTCCTTGTGGGAAGAGGTCTTTGCCCAGAGTAGGCACTTATAGGCTGATGATGATGACTACGGGCGAAGCCGCTGTCGGAAGCTAGTATTAATATACACTATATAGATGTAGAACTAAATAAATATACTCTTCATTCAACAGACAACTTCAGAAAGCCAAGATCAGATGTCCAAAGAGGAGAAGGAGTTACAAGAAGAGACTCAGCGTTTAGAGCAAGAGAGAAAAGACAGAGAGAAGCAGAAAGCCATCAAGAAGAAAGCCAGGAAAGTTAAACAGAAGTTGTTGATGACGTAAGTGTGATTTTGTATTTTTGACAAATGCCATCAAGGTAGCCAACGTAAATTGCTAGATGGTTTTTTTTAAGGAATAGATCGGCAAACGATTAGACGGATTACCTGATGGTAAGCAATCGGCGCCGCCCATGGACACCCGCAACACCAAATGAGTTACGAGCGTGTTGCCGGTCTTTTAGGGTTTCGGAGGGATTGGGTCCCGGTAAGCTCACTCACACTACGAAACAACACAACGTCGCTGTGGTTGTTTTACGCCGGTTTTCTGTGAGGCTGTGGTATCAATCCGGTCGAGCTACTCATTCGTGCCGAAGCGTGACTCTCCCACATTGTACGCAATCTGCGCCGCCCATCGATATATGAGCACTCCAAAGCAGTAATAAATGGGTTGCTGACTTCTTGGGCGTTAGGGATTTGAGAATCAGGGACTGGGGTGAGGAAAGGAGTGGAGGATTAGGGCTCACGTACTCCGGTAAAATCTGGGATTTATTGATAGATAATGATGATTTGATGAAAGAAAACCCTCACAATTGATATTGCTTTACAAAAAATATAGTTGTCATGGGATAGGGTGGCAAATTAGTAAACAGATGACTTGATGGCAAGCAATCGGTGCTGCCCAGCTACAAGAGTATTGCTCAATCTTGATTAATGTGAGACTTAGGTATGTACTGCTCATTATCTACTGAGACACTGGTACTGAACACTGAAGAAGAACTGCACCCCATATTATGAACTTGGTATAACTTTAAGCAAAACTGTATATTCTAGATTATGAGTTCTTCAATAAATTTTATTATTTTTTAAATTTTTATTATTTTTATTACTCATAGCCGTCATAAATGATTTTCTTGTAACATTTACTAAAAAGTCTTAACGAAAATATAGTTTTAATTAAATCTAAACCTTTGTCCACAGGAGCAACGACACAGTTATTATAGACGACGCCTCCCTAGTAGACGTTATAACGCCGACAACTACAAAAGTATGCAAGGTCATACACCAACTATCGCACACACTCGAACCATTTTTAGAACACCCTATAACATTCACAATTGAAAACGAAAACGTTACACAAGAAAACGGCTACGACCCACTTACTAAGAAGAGACACAGAATTATCATCAACGGTGGAGCGAAGAATACAATCGAAAAAGATGACAAGGATAAATCAGAGTCCAGTCGCAAAGAGAAAGAGAAAGAAAAGGAGAATAGAGAAGCAGAAAAAGAGAACAAAGTGGTAGAAAAAGAGAATAAATCCAAAGAAAAAGAAAACAAAGTTCTTGAGAAGGAGAATATAGCAGTTGAGAAAGAGATGAAAGGAGAAGAAGTTGAGTCGAATAGTAGTGGTAAAAAGAAGAAGAAGAAGAGTGACAAAGATAAACCGAAGTTGAGTAAGGCTAGTTCGGTCTGTTCTTCTCTTAGTGATATGAGTAAGAGTTCGGGGAAGAATGAGAAGCCTCGGACCATGATTGATATGCAATGCTTGGAGAAGCAACTCAATGAATTGCATAGGACTGTTGAGAAGTGCGCTAAAATGGTAAGTAAGAGATTGATCCTCTTCTTTTGTCATATGTCAGCAAACGAGCGGACGGATTTCCCTGCTAGTAAGCAATCGGCGCCCTCCATCGACACCCGCAACACCGGAGGAGTTGCAAGTTTACTTTGCCGGCGCTTCGGGGATTTAGGGATTGGGAAGAAATGGAGACTGGAAGGAGTAAGTATACGGTACTCATTCACACAGCGAAATACAACGCTGTGGTGGTTTCACGCCGGTTTTCTGAGGCCGTTTATCATTCTGATCGACCCGACTTGTTCGTGCTGAAGCATGACCCAGTCACACTTGATTAAGCATTTTAAATAAAATACATGTTACATTTCCTTCCCATTACATTTCCATTGGTACATTTCCTTCTCTGTCTGTAAAAAATAATAATCTGTGGAAATCGTTGCAAAATTGGTCGAAATTTAATATTTATATCAAACACGGAAAAACGAATTGTTTCGTTGCCAGGTGAGCGGAAGACCAATCCCGCTTCTTCCTAAGCGTAATCCTTTTCTGAACATGGGCCCGGTTGGGCCCCGTATATGGTGGTCTATGGACTCTTTGAGAGGCGCCTAGAACGCTACACGCCGTACGCTCGGGTCCTTAAGTAAAGCTATGTTGTACTCTATAAACTCCTTTTTCTAGACCCCTAAAGAGAGGACATCGCTCCACAAGATCCATCTCCTGAAAGTACTGGGAGAAATGCTGTGTATCGCCTGCGATCGAGAGGATATCACCCCACAATTTAGTACCAAGTAAGCTTTATTATTATCCGTTATAAGACTCTAGCTTTTGTGTATTGAATAGTGACTTCCTGCAGATTTTTGGTTAAAACTATCCTATATCCTTTCTCGAGTTCCGAACTATGTCTGTACCAAATTTTACACAAATAGGTTGAGTACTTTAGGCGTGAAGAAAAGACAGATAGACAGCGTTACTGTCGCATTTATAATACTAGCTTTTTGCCGCGATTTTGTTCGCGTGGAATAGTGACTTCCTGCAGATTTTTGGTTAAAAAACTATCCTATGTCCTTTCTCGAGTTCGAAACTATGTCTGTACCAAATTTCACATAAATAGGTTCAGTAGTTTAGGCGTGAAGAAAAGACAGACAGACAGACAGACAGAGTTTCGCATTTATAATATTTAGTTTGGATTTGGATTATCCGAAACTTTTATTTCGGATTCGGTTAAGTTTTTTTATATCAGGTATCCGATAGTTTTAGTGACGGTTACGGAGCTCCATAACACCAATATAATATGTGTATAAGTAAGCTGTATGTCCCCCCTAGAGCGCTGGCGTCGTGCGTGGTGTGTATGTCCCGGGCGGTGTCAGGGTGCGCCACTAGCGCGCGGTACGTGCTGGCCGCCCGCGTCGCCATCTACGCCGTCAAACTGCTCAGTCTGCAACTAGTGAGTATATTTTTATATTTTATTTTATCACTCTCTAGACGCCTTCGCTTTTATAACCTCCGCCTATGTTCATATTACGACGAATTTTACACCGTAAACTACCCATATTCAGCCGGTATTGCGGGGTAAGCGCAATGGAACACCGCGACCTCGGCCCAGAGCAGGAGAAGGAACTCGGGTTTTTAGTCAGTAAGAGTCTGACATACCCTCCCACCCGACTGGGCGTTAGAAGTAATTTGATGATTTTCCCCTCACAAAAAAAACTACCCATATTAGTAAAGGGACGTTCATAACATAAAATACGTGAGATGTTTAAGGGGGGAGGGGGGTCAAATCTCATCTGTCCTTACGTTGGAACCAGGGAGTGGGTCTCGACAAATATCACGTAATTTTTCTTTTTCTGAAATTTAAAAAAAAACCTCACGTAATTAATGAACTCAACTATGTAAATTCGCATACAACAACAACTGTACAACTATGTAAATTGTAACAACTGAACTGTACAACTATGCTAATTCTCCTACAGTTAAAGCTCCTTCCAAGGGTTGTCTAGAAGAAATTGCTTTTTACAGATGAGACAGGCAACTGCACTGTCTTTTGTGTTTGTTGTTTTATTACAATGGTGTACAATAAAGAATATGCTGTCTATATATATATTACTAAAACCAAAAAGGTGCACTGCGTTCTTTAGCTCCACACGAAATTCAGAGCATTTACTTGGCAACACTTGTTATAACGCGACCTCTTTTTACACGATTTTTAAGTCGCATACATTCTACTGCATACTTATTGACACATTCATAGATACATTTTTATAATGTGCCTTATTTTGAGTACACCATACACATTACAAGTATCTTCAATTAAAATTCATTTAAAAAAGCGACATCTGTGCGTTGAAATCCTAACTAGTTCAACCATCGCCATCTGTACCCCAGCGAAATACATTTCGAAGGCACTAAGTTGACTTGATGCCAATCTAGATGGCGACACAGGTCCCGTTTAAGAAAAGTATGTTCATATATTTTTAAATGTACAATGTTTGAAACGCCTATTTAAAAAAAAATATAATTTTCCTGATTATCCTGGATTGCGGTCATTCATCCATACATATCAAATACGGTCATATTTGGCTGTGCTTAGATAATGAGTTGCCAATATTCGTAAAACAAGTAAGTACCTAGACATGTTCAAACATTTAATTTATTCAAATAAAAGAAGTGGTGAAACAAAATTGAAAACTCTGGATGTAATTTTAACCTTTACTGAAATCAGAGTTTAAGTGTGGGAGAATCAAGCTTTGGTACGAATGGGTCGGCCGTGGGTCGGCCGTGGGTCGGTCGACCGGAGTGATACTCGCAGAAAACTGGCGTGAAACAACCACAGTTCGCCGTGTGAGTGCGGTTATCGGAGGTCCAATCCTTTCCCTGCCCAATCCCTAAATCTCCTCATCCGCAAAAGGTCGGCAACGCCCTCAATAACTCCACAGTTGCTGCAGATGTCCATGGGCGGCGCGATTAGGTGATCCGCAAGCTGGAATGCGGTTCTATTACATAAAAAAAAAACAAATCGGAAACGGCATCTTTTTTTGACAAAACGAATATTCTAGCGGTACAAATATTCCACGTTTGCATTTGTCACCAGTAAAAACCTAACCAAACAAAAAACACCAAAAACTTGCTCCCAAAACGTTTACATACAAAAAGTTAATCAATTTGTTGCCCAAACAGCGAAAACGCATGAAAATTAATTAGGCAGAAACTATGTTACCCTTTCCGTGTAAGTACGTAGGTAATGTAAGGGTTGATCTTTTTAGTGCTAGGGATGTTTGTAATGTGACTTTTCGGATCTAGATACGGATCCAGATAGAGGAATAGATTATATTATGTATTTGACTGCCTCTTTCTTTCCTAAGAAAGGTCTTCTATTGTTATTTATGTTTTATTAAATTATTTCTACTTTTTCAATGTAACTTTACCTACTTGTGATACTAAGTAAATGTACGAAACTCATTCTTCTCTCACAGAAAACCGGCGTGAATCAACCATAGCGTTGTGTTTCACCGTGCGAGTGAGGTTACCGTAGGCCCAATCCCCATAATCCCTCCTAAATTACAAAATCCCGAATTTACTAATCCCCTAAAGGGCGGCGCTGATTGCTTACCACCAGACGAACCCACAGATCGTTTGCCGTCTTATCACATAAAAAATGTCGGATTCAGTTACGGTTCCAACAATATTTTTGCTGCCACTACCAATCGGTTAAAGTTACGGATCTTCGTAACATCTCTCGGTAATGTGTATGTCCGAACTTTGGTTGTAATCTCGGAAAGTGCTCGCCTCATTTGCGATAACGTTTTTTATTGAAAATACTCGCAATACGTTATATTTAGGGGTCGTATAGTTTTATGGTTTATTTTGTTAGTTTTGCTTTCAAAGGGGTTTATAGACTCCTTGGTCGCGTGGTCGTCAGTGCGACTGTTGTAAGTGAAGTCCTGAATGTTCAATTCTTGGTTATGAAGACAATTTATTGACTTGTGATGTTCTAATGGTCTCTTTCACAATTACTTAATAATTACTATGTACTTAGATATTTTTATAAAGAGCGCAATTTTAGTATAAATAAAATATAAGTATAAAAACTTAAGTAGCTAAATCTAACCGAAGTCACGACGCACAATACTGCGTCAAATTCAGCTCATTCTAAAGGAAAATTTTGCCTATCCTCTCCCAGATAAATGGTCTATCCAAAATAAAAAATAATTATTCAAGTCAAACCAGAGTCTTGGAGATAAGCGCATTTGAATACCAATCGCAACTTCCAACACAAAAAAACCTCTGCTTTATTGTAAGTGTAGATTTGCTACCTACTTCAAAAATTATACCCAGCTATAGAGCTCATAAATGTTTACTCAGCCAATGAATTAAAATAGTTCAACGTAAAGAACCATAAAAACTTAAATACCTTAAACTTATATACTAAATATTTGTATTTGTTTAGATAATTCCAGGGCAAAATGTATGTAATCTATTTGAATTAAAAGTCATAGCGTGCTATTAATTCATTAAAAATAAATATAAAAAGAACTTGTAGTTTTTTGAAATGTCGATAAAAGTATTAAATTTGAATTGCCTTAAAATATAAACTTTTGCTTATTAACCTGTTATTTGCCTATAAATAAGACACAATAGAAAATGCATTGTATCTCTCTTACACCTTTATACGTTCCGGCACATCAGGAATTGGGTAGTTTCCTTGGTCAAAAAATAATTAATTCGACATGTCTATGCAATAAAATATTGAAAAATAACAATACTTTTATTAATCGATCTGTCAGCACAGCAAATTTTCCATTTTTTTAGCTAATTTTAAAGAAATAAGTAAGCTATTTGACGTAAAAATACTATGACGTCATAACTTGCACTTTCATACAAATTTTATAGAAAAGTATCGTTTTTGACATTTGGATAAAAGTATTGAATTTGACTAGTTGGAAAGTACCGTATTAATAAATATACTTAGTTGTTCTAAATCTAGAAACATTCGAACTCCATTCGCCACGTCGCTCTCAGCTCGCTCCCTACTAGGCGAGGTCGTGACGATACTCTCTACTGTTATATACTTGTATATATTTATACGTATGTAGGTACGTGTTAGACGCCGCTAGACGCCGAGCCATGAGACGAATGACGAACGTGGTTCTAAGGGTTGTCACCTATTAGAAAGTTTTTTTTTTTTGTACATAAGATGGTTTCAATAATTATGTTTTTGTTGTCTTTATGGCTAAGAAAGAGATTTTGGATTTATGTGCTAACCTTGGCTTTCGCCGGGGAAAATTTTAGTTTTAGCACAGAAGAATCTAGTTGGACTTGTTGGTGCAACCTTACTGCACGTTTTTGGAGGGGAATAATCGACAAACGCATTCTCTCGCCCTGGGATTGGCAGTGTCAGATTCTGATGTCAATCAGAATCACCTTGTTGCTGTTCATTATTGCTTTTGACTCCTAACCCCGACTGAACATCAGCCCTGTTGTGCCCCATCTGATGTGGTCTATTGGCTCTTTGAGGTGCTCGCTGCAACGCGCCGTACACGGTCCTGGTTCGAGTTGGAGAGCTTCCTTTGCTTGCCGTCCGCAGACTCGCTGTTAAGGTAGCGGGGAAACTTGGCCTTATAATTTCTAAATCTTCACTCCACTTTGAGTAAACATAGAGAAACGCTTTTGCTTAGCAGTTGGTACTCATAGGCTGATGATGATAATGACGATGATATGGCATTTGCCTTACCCTTTACTACACACTATTTAATCGAGCTGGTGTAAAAGTGAGAGTTAAAACTCTGCAGCATTGTAGCGTTGAGGATTTGAGAGTGTTCAATTAGCTCACGTCAAAATTTTTATTTATGTGCGGCTCCTAAATCTATATGATGTCCGGCGTTTGGTAATAGGCCCAACCATAATGTAACTTGATTGTTAAATAAAGTGCATTATCTTACACATGCAATTGTAAATCAATTTGATTTACTTTATTGCCAGCATTAAAATTATACTTATACGATTTTCCAGGCAGTTCTAAATTTAAAGTGGCAGTTTCAATTTTTTTTTGATAGAAAAAACCTTTTAAGTTGTTTCAGTACAGCAACGAATTAGCTGCTGCTGTTTTTGGCTAAGTAGTTTTTGATTGTAAGGCTAACAAACTTACAAATCATTTCGCTTGCAAAGCATAAAAAATATATATTAATAATATTTTCGACTAAGTGACAGCCCTGTGCACTACTGGCAGTAGCCCGTTGAGTGGGTGGGCGCCCTAAAAGCGCCGCTAATGCATCTGACGCGACCGTTCACGTTGTCCTTTATACTCGCCTAGCTACTTGCGCCAGTACTTATAAGAGAGTTATGTGCTGTTAGATAGTGTGTTTCCAACGTACTGAGACGTTCTTTTACGATACATAGTAGTAGGGGATATTACAAAACGATTTTTTAAAGGGTTTTTGTAATTCTGTAATAGACACTCTTGTTAGTGAAAATTGCTAATATTTTTCTACTACATCTACAATAGGGCTGATGACTAAAAAATAATAGAAATAAGCCAGAAACTAGTAGATACGTATTTTTTCTTTTGCTTCTAAAACTTAAAATAACATAGTTACAGAGCGGCAAAAGTTCGCGCTACGTCATTATTTCGCAAAATTTTTACGAAATAGTGACGTCACGAGCCCCTACTCCTGAATTTGAATGTTGTGCTGTATCTTTGTCAATATTATTCGTATGGACAGATAAAAAAATACGTATCGAGTATTTTTCTATAATCGAACTGAATGTAAGAGTCTGACACTCCCTCTAGCACCACCTTGAGTGGGAGCAGTTATTTGGTAATTTTCCCCTCACAAAAAAACCTACTTACCATTTTATTTCGGTTAGTTGCTAGTTGCAAATTGAATGTAAAAAAGTGAGCAACAATCTCGCATAAACTACATCAACATACTTTCATAACATAGTTACTAACCACTTTAAAAAAAGGAAAAAATTCTGTCAAATAAAGAATCTTGAATAAATAATTTTTGAGCTTACAATGATTAAAAAAATATATCCCATCGCTCCTATTAACGAACTTTATATGTATATTTGAATCAAATTTTGTGGAAGAGCCATGCTTCGGCACGAATGGGTCGGCTCGACCAGAGCGATACCACGGCCTCAAAGAAAACCGGCGTGAAACAACCACAGCGTTGTGTTTCGCCGTGTGACTGAGGTTACCGGAGGCCCAATCCTTCCCCACCCCCAATCCTTCCTCAATCCCAAAATCTCCAAATCCCTAATCCTCAAAGGGTCGGCAACTCACTCGCAACTCCTCCGTTGCCATGGGCGGCGCTGATTACTTACCATCAGGTAATCTGTCTGCTCGTTTGCCGATCTATTACATAAAAAAATCATCTAATTAAGTAAACTTAATCTTGAATTATTGCAAAATGCGTCTGTCGACACGTAAAAGGATTCGTCACTCATACAACAAAACATAACAATATAATAATATCCGCTAAACTATAAAGATTTTATCTCGACGCGCTACCGTGTACAGGTATAAAAAAGATTCCAGAATATTCTTACCGTAAGCTTTTACTGTTTGTTATAAAAATAATCAAATAAAAAAATAAAAAATAACTCGGCGTTCTAATTAGGCAGTTACCGACTCTCCGATACAAATTCTAAAGTCGTTAAATAAATAAAACCAGTATTTTTTTTCTCTTGCCTTTTTTATCTTCAGTGTTATCTTTAGCGACGGTCTAAGATATCGAAGGGACTTGGCCTTATAAATTTGAGGTTTTTAGATGATTGGGAACGTTTTAGTGGTCGCTTGAGAAGTCGATGGGTATTCCCATCTGAAATGACCTTGTTGGTCTAGTTGTGGGAAGTAAGAAGCCTAGTGATGGTGATTAAGTATACAAAATGAATGTTATATATTTCTTGTTCCATTTTTTTTATGTTGTCGATTGTCAAACGGACAGACGGATGACCTGATGGTAAGCAATCGAAGCTGCCCCATATATACAAGCAACACCAGAAGAGCTACGAGTGCGTTGTCGGCGTTTTGGGGATAAGGTATTTGGAGATGTAGGGATAAGGAAGGGATGGGCGGAGGGGAAGGATTGGGCCTCCGGTTACTTCAGTTACACAGCGAAATTCAACGGTGTGATTGTTTCACGCCGGTTTTCTGTTAGGCTGTGGTATCACTCCGGTCGAGCCAACACATTCTTACCGTAACCTGGCTCTCCCACAATTACTTTGATTTGTTAATCTAGCTATTGGAGTAATCTAAATATAAATAAACCGACATTGGTTAGCAGAAAAGATATAAGAGAACGATGAAACAATAAAAAGCACCCTCATGCAGGATTCTTACAAAGCAAAACCAATTACTGCAGTACTGAGATATTCTCTAATAAAATTGCAATGTCCTTACTTTCGAATTAATTAAAACACCGCCGTATTACTTATCCTCGCATTGTTTCACAATAAGTGTACTAACGGATTAATTTTTTATATCCATCCTAACGACTTCCCGCCGGCAGTACAGTCGTGGGCAATAAAAAACATTATTAAAGCTTCGCAAAAAAGTATTATAATTGTTGCGTTTTTTGTAATAAAAATAAAATTGGGAATTTTAATCTTATGCAGTTCTTTCCTGTAAGATAATGGCGTTGCGGATAAAATGGCGATTCGGTCTGCGAATGTAGTGTTAAATTATAACAAAGAGTTTACCTACAACAAGTGTACTCTTGAGTGAAGTGATTACAGTGATTGATAAATGTATATGAGATTGATTTATTAGTAGCTTTCAGTGTGGGAGAGCCATGCTTCGGCGCGAATGGCTCGGCTAGACCGGAGTGATACCACAGCGTCACAGAATACCACGGCGAAACAAAAATCACGTTGTGTATAATCCCCAAATCCCCTTCCCTTAAAACCTACAAAAGGCCGGCAACGCACTTGTAGTAACCAACTCCTTAAACCTTACTAGTGTCTTTGGGCTTTGTCGATTTTTACCGTCAGGTAATACAGGTTCTAGATTGCCGAACTATACCTATAAAAAATGGAAAAAATGAGTTGTAATGTTAAAAAAACCTGGTACTTATTACGACAATGAAACTCGAGTGTTATTCATCTATAATTTAAGTTGTATTAAGTAGCATTTCAATGTCGAAATTCTCGATCAAAAATTATACTTTCAATCCATTTTGGGTTAATTTAAGGTTATTTAGAAGCAACTTATTGAATCGTACCGCGGCAATGTTAATTGACCGTTATCGCTGACGCCATCTTTGATTTTTTTCAAAATTCGAATAAGAAGTAGGCACTTTTTTGTCTCTCGTAAATCTAATAGTTTATGAGGGTCCAGTGACCGCGATAACATCTTTGCCCGATAGTTTGGTTGCGATTTTTTTGTCGCATACGGATATTTACGATATCTAACGGGCACGGGTTTGACGCCAGGATCCACCATGTGTTCCAGTTCAGTTTGAACCCGAAGTTTAAATGAAAAATTATGTAATTATGACACATTTTGGGTGTGTATTTTCACAATATCTTTATTCGCTACATATATTGAAGTGGTGGGCTCGACCGGAGTTATACCATGGCCTCAAAATAAACCGGCGTGAAACAACCACAGCATTGTGTTTTGCCTTATAGGTGAGGTTACCTCCCAATCCTTAAATATCCGAAACCCTAATTATCAAAAGGCGGGCAACGAACTCCTAACTTCTTTAGCGTTTCAGCCGGAGTTCCGGGGCAAGCGCAACCAGGCACCGCGGCCTCGGCCTAGAGCAGGGGAAGGAAGAAGGAAGAGGGTGAGATTTAGTCTGTGACCCCTGACAGTCCCTCTCAGGCAGGAGAAGTCATTTGATTATGTCTACCTCACAAAAAGGACTCCATAATGTTGCGGTTGTCTATGGGCGGAGCCTTGCTCGGTTTCCGACCTATCACGTAATAAAGTTGCTGTTAATAATTTTGCACCAGTACTGGATCAAGTGCGCGTGCCTTATCAAACGGGTCACAGTAATGCCACAGTGTGCCGCGGCGCGGTCAACGGGGACGCAGATATAAATGTTTGCACAGAGAGTAGGTAACGGCAGCCACTGAGCCTTACTGAGTATTACCAGTAGATACTGAGTTTTCATACTTCATAGATGATGATATAGACATGTTATAAGTGGTCATAAGATTAGGTGACCTAGTATGGATACTGTGAACTGATGAAACTGTTGACACTTTATCGTTTGAATTACTGAAATGGCTTCTCTCGCCCAAGGTGAGACGAGAGTGTCAGACTCTTACTGACTTAAAACCCTTCGTTCCTTTTCTTGCTTTTGGCTGAGACCGCGGTGCGCTAGTAAGCGCAAGCTTACTCCACAACCCCGGCTGAACAGACTTATAGGGTCCCGTCTGTAGTGGTCTATTGGCTCTTTGAGGCGACACTTAGACTTGTGTTTTGCAATATAATGTTCACTAAGAATGAATAACGTTTTGGTTTTTTTACAATTGTTGGCGAAACACTGAATCTTTGGCCCAGTGAAATCAATTTAGGATTTACTCTGAAATCATATTGAGACATTGATGCTTATAATTTAAATTTAGTTTAACTTGGAGTCTGAATATATAATGTCTAGTGAGCCATGCTTTAGCACAATTGAAGAATTTGACATGAATTTGGCACGAGCAGAGCGATACCATGTCCTCACAAAGATCCGCCATGAAATAATCATAGCGTTGTTTCACCGTGCGAGTTAGCTTAGCGGAGGCCCAATCCTTCCCTTCTCCCATCCCTCCTCATTCTCTAAATCTTCAAAAGCCCCTCAACGCCCATGCAATTCTCAGGTGTTGGGAGTGTCCATGGGCGGCGCCGCATGGTAATAAATATGCATCTTTTCTTACCTTATATTATTTATGTTATCATCAGGAAAAGGATCTGCAAGCCAACCAAAGGGAGATGGAATTAGCCATGCAGATCAGCGACTGTCTCTCCGTCGTCCTGGACGGCGTGTTGTGCTCCTCCCGACTCTACAACGACGGCAAGAGGGACAATTCCAAAGAGGAGGCTGAAATGCTCTCAACGTTGCGAGGCAGAGCTCATATGCTGATCAGGTAAGTCAATTTAGTTGAATAGCTACTACCGCGCATTTTTATCCGCTGATCGGCTTCTATTGAGTTTCGGTCGAGTGAGGTTTTATAGCCTATAGCTTTCTTAGATAAATGGACTATCAGACAAGAAATAATAAATTGTTCATTTCAAAACAATATTTGCGGAGATAAGTTCGTTTAAATAACCAAATTCTTCAGCTTTTGACATAGTTATAGACTAGTTTCTTCCGAGCGGTGAAACCGGCTGTTCGGTTTCTATAAATCTTGGAGTGAGGTTTTATAGCCTTCTTTTTATAGTCTTATTAATATTTTTATAGTCTTCCTCGATAAATAAGCAGAATACCCGCAACACCAGCGGAGTCACTCCTGCGTTGCGAATCATTGAAAGACATATAAATAACTTTGCAATAATAACAGAAATAAAAAAAAGAAACACTCCTACACGCATAAAAAACGCAAACACTCAAACTACTTAATATTTTTACGGAAGGAAAAAATAATAATAAAAAAGTATACTTAAGTTGCCACTTGGCACAGTGGCGCCCTCCGCTGAAATTACGGGGGTCGGCGAGGACGCATCACACAAATTAGATTATGCTCCAGTAAATGGATAGAACGGTGTCGACTGTGCAGACGTAGTTTATGAGTTTTTTATATATTTACTTACATTTTTATGTAGTAAATGGTACAGTAAAAAGGTGGGTTATAAAACTATTTTTGTTTTAGTGTATCGAAATTATTTCAGGGTAATAAATAGAGTAACAAATTTTTGCGTATACAATGTTGGTGTTAATAATTTCTTACTTTATGGTAAGTACTTAAGTATGTACAAAAGAGGTATGCTTTAGCACGACAGCGATACTCGACCGATATGATACCAAGGCCTTGTCGTCGTGGGTCGTGGAGAATCGCTGTTTCGCCGTACGTGTGAGGTAATTTCAGATCCAATCCTTTTTCTCCTCAATCCCTCAAACCCTCAAACTCCCTTACCCAAAAGGCCAGTAACGCCCTTGCAATCTTATGGTATGCAAGCAGCGCTACCTAGCAGGGCCTCGAGTCTACTATTACAATAATGTCAGAATAGTAGATCATTGGTTTCAAAATTGTTGATTTTGACAAGTTTGGTAATCTACTAATACGATAGCGTCATTATAACTTTCCAATGATCAACCAATGCCACTTCATTGAAATAAATTATTTCAGTACGAGATTACCGTTCTAAAGGATTATTTGAAATAATCCTTTAGAACGGTAATCTCGTACATAATGACAAATGAATATTTGACATAATGCGGTAAATTTATAAAAAAATGACAGTTCCTTTATTCAATGATTTACGTTTAGAATATTAATGTTCAGTTATTGTTTATAATTCGTTACAAGACATCTCGTACTATAATTATATTACGACATCGCCGAACGCCAATGATCAGCCATTTTGAATTAACAGATTACGAACTTAATAATAATAATAGCATTACAAAATAAATTGAATAAAACAACTACTTATTTAATTTAATTATAACTAGTAATAAAAAATCTGTGCTACATAATCTAAATAAAATTAGCGTCCTCCTCTCTTCTACGTTGCCGTGCCCTACAGGGTCCATACTGTATACCTTTTAAACATATGGAGTGCAATAAAGGTATTGAGTATTGAGTATTGAACTTTTAGCAAAATGACAATGGAATCGTGTATGAATGACTATACTATAAATAGTAGACTTGGGCCCCAAGTAATAAGTTGATCAATCAGAGAAGGATCTCAATCTCTGTCATAAGTGTAACGAACAATGAATGAGAAAAAAATACATTCTACTATGTTCTTATCAGACGATAATTCTGTAATTACTTTCTCAATAAAAATGCACAAAACAACCTCAAAGAATCTGTCAACAAACATTTGCGCCAACATTTGTTCACACATTTACACCCAACATACAACCTGTCAAATATAATTCAGAAAAAGCATTTAATCATTTAAAAAGCTGACTCCGTCATTGTAGAACAATAGCTTGGTTGTGACGCTCTGTACAATGTTGGTGGTGACGAGCAAAGTCGGGGGTGTAATACTTGTATTTGTTAATTAAACGCGATGGCTTTTAAATGGGGCTTGGAGTTTTTAAGCTAAGTAGTTCTTGGTAAGTTAGGGTGATAGGATGGTTTGTCTTTGATGAGCCAAAATCATTACTGTGTGGAAGAGCCATGCTTCGGCACGAATGGGTCGGCTCGACCGGAGTGATACCGCGGCCTCACAGAAGACCGACGTGAAACAACCACAGCGTTGTTTCGCCGTGTGAGTGAGGTTACCGGAGGCCCAATCCTTTCCCGCCCCCAATCCCTCCTCAATTCCTAAATCTCCAAATCCCTAATCCTTAAAGGTCGGCAACGCACTCGTAACTCCTCCGTTGCGGGTGTCCATGGGCGGCGCTCATTGCTTACCATCAGGTTATCCGTCTGCTCGTTTGCCGACCAATTACATAAAAAAAAATTACTGACTTCTCCCGCCCGTGACGGAGTCCTTTTCCTTATTCTGCTCTTATCTGGACCGCGGTATCATTGCAGAACAAGAAAGAAACTCCATCGTTATTCTTTTAAAAACTATCATAACATGCTTCGGCTCGAATGGACCGGCTCGATCGATGTGATGTCAGGGACAGAAAACTGACTTGAACTTCTCCCCCCCCCCCCCCTAAATCTCCAAAACCCTTATCCCCAAAATGGCAGCAATGCACTCGTTAACTCTTGGTGTTGCGGGTGTCCATGGGCGGCAGCGTTTGCTTACTATCACGTAATCAGCTAGCTTGTTCGCCGATCTATCACTAATAAAAAAAAAGAAACAATTTAGGGAAACTTTTTAGTACATTAATCTAAACATGAGATCAAAGAAAGTTCAGTGGTACCTTAAACATAATTGCGAGGGTAGTTCATTTAATTAAACACGATGACATTGAATACTCGTACAGTTGACCGACTCCAATATTGTGTTTCGATGGTACAGTACAGCACAATGCACGCAGCCACTCCATTGTGTCCATATGTCCTGTTCACTTGCATCTCGGTATTAAGTACTCTGACACCGAGTATGCAATCAATGGAGGGTTGAATTCTTGATGATGATTCTATATTTTGGATGAAGTACGTTGTTGGACAGTTTCTTGAGGAAATCTGAACTATGCACGGGTGCAATGGTGAAACTAAATTTGTCTACTATTTAACATGATGGATCGATGTTATTATACGTATAAACCAGCATGTTGCGTAGTTTTAAAGATATAAGTATACAAAGCGATATATAGACAGAAAATATGACTTTGTTTTGTACTATAATAAATATTTTGTAATGATGTCGGCAAACTTGCAGACGGATGACCCGATAGAAAGCAATCAGCGCTTGTCATGGGTATGTGCAATAATGCCAAAGGAGTAAGAAGTGATTTTTCGGACTTTTGGTTTGTTCTTATGGAATAGGAGACAATAGAACAGATGGACCATCTGATGTTAAGTATAAGCGCTGCCCATGGACATCCACAATGCTTGAGGAGACACACGAGCTTTAGCCTTTTAAGAAGGAGTATGCTCGGCGACTCAGTGTTAGGCTTTCTTAGGGAAGGGCAGTGGTGTTCGAGTTACCGTTTTTACAGTTACGTTTAAATTGTGGTGCGCTTTTAACAATGTATTATAAATAATTTGAAGTTTCTACTGCATTATATATATCTTCCAATATATTTCAATCACGTGGCCCAAGCCTAGATCATAATAATATCAAAACTTGTAACGTAATTAAATTAAAACAGAATTAGAGCCGCGTGTACTCTTGTCTCCCCTACTCCGTGACGCTAGGGTGAGCGACATCGAGACATCGATACTCGGTAGATTACAGACGATTATCGATTCAATCGGATACCGTCACATTTAGGGTTGTAAGATGTAATAAATTAGCGGTGTTTGTTGCCATATGTGACGATTGATATCGGGTGGATTAGGTTGTTTGGTTAAACTTTGTATTAAAAATAAATTTATTCGACGTTTCAATACAAGAAAATATTAAAAAATAACTATACTTTTATTCATCGATCGATTGATCGATACACTAAGTTTTAGTTTTTTTTAGCTAATTGTTAAGAAATAAGTCAGTTTTTCATACAAATTTCATAGGTATAGTTTTCGACGTTTGGATAAAAGTATTAAATTTGTCTAGTTGGAAACTACCGTATTTGAAATCTTGCTACATTTTTTTTTGAGCGGTATTGTCGTCATATGACTTCTCGCCCTGAGTGGAGCAAGAGGAGGAGAGTGGCAGACTCCTACTGATTATTAGTTACCCTGTTCCTTCTCCTGCTCTATTCCGGGGTTGATAACTGCGCTAGCAATTCCGGAGAAAATAGTGATTTTTACTTAGATGTAGTATTGTAGAAATAAATATTTTTGGGTCTAAGCAAATTTTTAAGTGTGTTAGGAGTTTTGATTTCTAGATAAAAAAATACCTTTTAATTCATATCTTTACAACATATAATTACGCGGGTATTAACGCGGAAAATAATTATTTAAATACCTTGGTAGGGTTGACGTTTTGACGTTGTTGACGTTAGAATATCTTTTGTTAGTGTATCTTAAATTCCTCTACAAGTTTCAAATGAGATAGTAATATTGGCGATCATTTGACATGTAAAAAGCATGTGGTACATCACAATTAAATTAAAAGCCTCATTTCTCTCCAAACTGCCACAATTGCTTAGTGCCTATTGCCAGCCCTACATGAAAGGGTTTCAAAGAGCTACTCGTAACGAGTACCGTATCGAGAACCATTCGTAAGTGAACAGGAATCGAATTAAACTCTCGAGCTGTACTCGATAACGTTGTTAAGTTCTCGGGAATGTTGAGATTTTGATTTGATGTAACCTTTTCTATTTTCAAATGGAGCGTTCCAATTGGCAAACTTTCAGAATATCGATTAGTGTTTTAGCGTTTTGATGCTCAGTTTTTTACTTCGTCTCAATTAA